CTACTCTCTTTTTGTAAAGTTGAATACTGACATATGCCTACTCCAATGTGAAGGGTAGGAAATACCAGACCATCCATCACATGTACAGTGAGGGAAAAAAGTATTTGATCCCCTGCTGATTTTGTACATTTGCCCACTGACAAAGACATGATCAGTCTATAATTTTAATGGTAGGTTTATTTGAACAGTGAGAGACAGAATAACAACAACAAAATCCAGAAAAACGCATGTCAAAAATGTTATAAATTGATTTGCATTTTAATGAGGGAAATAAGTATTTGACCCCTCTGCAAAACATGACTTAGTACTTGGTGTCAAAACCCTTGTTGGCAATCACAGAGGTCAGACGTTTCTTGTAGTTGGCCACCAGGTTTGCACACATCTCAGGAGGGATTTTGTCCCACTCCTCTTTGCAGATCTTCTCCAAGTCATTAAGGTTTCGAGCCTGACGTTTGGCAACTCGAACCTTCAGCTCCCTCCACAGATTTTCTATGGGATTAAGGTCTGGAGACTGGCTAGGCCACTCCAGGACCTTAATGTGCTTCTTCTTGAGCCACTCCTTTGTTGCCTTGGCCATGTGTTTTGGGTCATTGTCATGCTGGAATACCCATCCACGACCCATTTTCAATGCCCTGGCTGAGGGAAGGAGGTTCTCACCCAAGATTTGACCGTACATGGCCCCGTCCATCGTCCCTTTGATGCGGTGAAGTTGTCCCCCAAAGCATAATGTTTCCACCTCCATGTTTGACGGTGGGGATGGTGTTCTTGGGGTCATAGGCAGTATTCCTCCTCCTCCAAACACGGCGAGTTGAGTTGATGCCAAAGAGCTTCATTTTGGTCTCATCTGACCACAACACTTTCACCCAGTTCTCCTCTGAATCATTCAGATGTTCATTGGCAAACTTCAGACGGGCCTGTATATGTGCTTTCTTGAGCAGGGGAACCTTGCGGGCACTGCAGGATTTCAGTCCTTCACGGCATAGTGTGTTACCAATTGTTTTCTTGGTGACTATTGTCCCAGCTGCCTTGAGATCATTGACAAGATCCTCCCGTGTAGTTCTGGGCTGATTCCTCACCGTTCTCATGATCATTGCAACTCCACGAGGTGAGATCTTGCATGGAGCCCCAGGCCGAGGGAGATTGACAGTTATTTTGTGTTTCTTCCATTTGCGAATAATCGCAACAACTGTTGTCACCTTCTCACCAAGCTGCTTGGCGATGGTCTTGTAGCCCATTCCAGCCTTGTGTAGGTCTAAAATCTTGTCCCTGACATCCTTGGAGAGCCCTTTGGTCTTGGCCATGGTGGAGAGTTTTGAATCTGATTGATTGATTGCTTCTGTGGACAGGTGGCTTTTATACAGGTAACAAGCTGAGATTAGGAGCACTCCCTCTCCTAATCTCAGCTTGTTACCTGTATAAAAGACACCTGGAAGCCAGAAATCTTTCTGATTGAGAGGGGGTCAAATACTTATTTCCCTCATTAAAATGCAAATCAATTGCGTTTTTCTGGATTTTGTTGTTGTTATTCTGTCTCTCACTGTTCAAATAAACCTACCATTAAAATTATAGACTGATCATTTCTTTGTCAGTGGGCAAACGTACAAAATCAGCAGGGGATCAAATAGTTTTTTCCCTCACTGTACATCAGGTGGTTAAAGATGGAATCCGCAGTAGGGGGAAACAGCTCCACTGGCCACCAGTAGGGGGAAACAGCTCCACCACAGTTGTTATTGTTTTTGTTGACGAGCTGAGGAGCGTTGCGCAGCATGATAAAAAAAGAAGAAGTGCTGTACATATTGTGCTCTTCTATCGCGCATGCAATGATGGCCGAGGGGAAAAAACAGTGTTAGTTGTTTGCAGTAACTTCTTTGTTGTTGGAATATCCCAAACGGACGTGGCAGTTTCACCATGAACCATTATCACTTGTGGGAATTGGCCTATATGGGCTAAATTGAAATGTTCCCTACAGAAGAAATATGAAAAGCATATGCATAACCATGGTAGCAATTGAAAAGGAACAGCATGTTTGCATGTTTGTATTTGGTTAAAACAATTATTTTTTGGGGGGGGGGGGAATAAAATACAAAAAAGAACGGGAACAGTTAGGAGATTATGGAAAACTATTAGACTAAAGGTGAGGACACAACAATTCACATTACACAATACTTAATCCAAACATTATTTGTTGATAACGACATCTGAAAATACTCAGGATACATTCAGTAGCATGATGAAAATATTCCTGAAAAATGTGGGGTAGGTGCAACATACAGTGGGGAAAAAAGTATTTAGGCAGCCACCAATTGTGCAAGTTCTCCCACTTAAAAAGATGAGAGAGGCCTGTAATTTTCATCATAGGTACACGTCAACTATGACAGACAAATTGAGGGAAAAAAATCCAGAAAATCACATTGTAGGATTTTTAATGAATTTATTTGCAAATTATGGTGGAAAATAAGTATTTGGTCACCTACAAACAAGCAAGATTTCTGGCTCTCACAGACCTGTAACTTCTTCTTTAAGAGGCTCCTCTGTCCTCCACTCGTTACCTGTATTAATGGCACCTGTTTGAACTTGTTATCAGTATAAAATACACCTGTCCACAACCTCAAACAGTCACACTCCAAACTCCACTATGGCCAAGACCAAAGAGCTGTCAAAGGACACCAGAAACAACATTGTAGACCTGCACCAGGCTGGGAAGACTGAATCTGCAATAGGTAAGCAGCTTGGTTTGAAGAAATCAACTGTGGGAGCAATTATTAGGAAATGGAAGACATATAAGACCACTGATAATCTCCCTCGATCTGGGGCTCCACGCAAGATCTCACCCCGTGGGGTCAAAATGATCACAAGAACGGTGAGCAAAAATCCCAGAACCACACGGGGGGACCTAGTGAATGACCTGCAGAGAGCTGGGATCAAAGTAACAAAGCCTACCATCAGTAACACTCTACGCCGCCAGGGACTCAAATCCTGCAGTGCTAGACGTGTCCCCCTGCTTAAGCCAGTACATGTCCAGGCCCGTCTGAAGTTTGCTAGAGTGCATTTGGATGATCCAGAAGAGGATTGGGAGAATGTCAGATGAAACCAAAATAGAACTTTTTGGTAAAAACTCAACTCGTCGTGTTTGGAGGACAAAGAATGCTGAGTTGCATCCAAAGAACACCATACCTACTGTGAAGCATGGGGTGGAAACATCATGCTTTGGGGCTGTTTTTCTGCAAAGGGACCATGACGACTGATCCGTGTAAAGGAAAGAATGAATGGGGCCATGTATCGTGAGATTTTGAGTGAAAACCTCCTTCCATCAGCAAGGGCATTGAAGATGAAACGTGGCTGGGTCTTTCAGCATGACAATGATCCCAAACACACCGCCCGGGCAACAAAGGAGTGGCTTCGTAAGAAGCATTTCAAGGTCCTGGAGTGGCCTAGCCAGTCTCCAGATCTCAACCCCATTGAACATCTTTGGAGGGAGTTGAAAGTCTGTGTTGCCCAGCGACAGACCCAAAACATCACTGCTCTAGAGGAGATCTGCATGGAGGAATGGGCCAAAATACCAGCAACAGTGTGTGAAAACCTTGTGAAGACTTACAGAAAACTTTTGACCTGTGTCATTGCCAACAAAGGGTATTTAACAAAGTATTGAGAAACTTTTGTTATTGACCAAATACTTATTTTCCACCATAATTTGCGAATAAATTCATTAAAAATCCTACAATGTCATTTTCTGGGGAAAAAAATCTCAATTTGTCTGTCATAGTTGACGTGTACCTATGATGAAAATTACAGGCCTCTCTCATCTTTTTAAGTGGGAGAACTTGCACAATTGGTGGCTGACTAAATACTTTTTTTCCCCACTGTAAGACAACAAAATCACAAGGGTTTGACTGAGACGACTAACTGGTGTCTCCAAGTGGCCACACGTCTCCAAAGTGTGCACAGTTCCTAAGTAATTTCAATGCATTTTTATGACAATAAATAAATAAAACATCTTCAACTATAAGGTGCTTTTTGAGCTCTGCTAGCTGTGCGGTTGAGGAACTAGAGCAAGCGCATTACTGTTGTTGTTTACACAATCCAAAAATGGTCCATTATAAATCGCTATCTGGGTCAGGTGGGCATCATTCCAAAGCTTGTTCTATTGTCAACATGACTAGCTAAATTATAAAATACGATATTACAGTGTTAGGCCTTAACAAGCCAATTCTGGGAAACAGATCATAATTTTGGTGCGCATAGAAAGCAGTCATGAGTGCATGCGTGTGCCGTGAACAATTTTCTTCACAATAGACAACCATGTTCAGGACAACCCAGAGTATGACGCCATGTCATCTTGTAACTGTACATCAAGCATATTGATTATAAACGTTGACACTGTATATGACATGAGTTTTATGATATGGAAATGTGAAGTGCACATTTGGACTCACGGGTATTTGGCATACTTGTATGACATCAAATACATATTTATTATAATCCTCAACGTCTCATCTTTCAAAATAAAGTCCTCTTAATTTACAGCATTCCCTCACTCAGACAACAAAACACTTGCAAAAGTTGCCCAATTAGCGAGAGGGATGGGGGCAACTTCTTGTTCAGAATGGCTGTCAGTCAAAATTCAAACAGCTCTGTGAAGAGCAGAGCCAGAGCTCTGACGTCATGTATAGCATGTTACTGTAAAGATACTACGTTCCAATTTAGGCGTTTATCAGTGCCCAAATCTGCCATGTTCAACCCGTATACTGGTACAAGTGTAAAGGGCAATGGATTCCAGCTTTAACTAGGTTCCATGTCCACTTAAAATTATGACCCACCTGACTGAGGTCAACTCTCCCTTATGTCTATGTCTAGACCTGGGTATCCTCATCTATAGACACAGAGGTACAGCAGAAAGTTACAGTAAGTCCCCTACCTTCCCAGAAGCAGCAGCAGAGAGTAGGCTCAGTCATACTTGTTTGTGGTCTCCAGTCTTCACGCTCTCATCTGGCTTCTTGTGAATGGCACAGAGCCGACCCCTGGGTTCTGCACTAAGCTATATAAGAGAGAGAGCAGCAGGACACTCAGCACAGACACAGCACCCTGCATACAGGGAGGAGAGTGACTACTCAACACAACTATACAGAGGTACTCACAGGGTAAGACTGAGATCCAGTCACCTTCTCTTTCCCTGTTGACACATCTTTGAACTTTACTATTAACATTGTTCTTTCAACAGACAGATTTTCTTTTTAAGTTAACATTTTTTATAGACGATTTGGAGGTGCTGAATGCAAGTTCAGCTTCTGTTCTTTGAGTGTTGGTTTAAATTCAATTGATGCACATTTGTGAGTTCAGACATTTCATAAAATACTGTAAGACATTCTCATTAGTCTGTGTGAACTTGAAAGACAGTTTGACGTATTGACAGACAATAGGTTTCAGCTTGCATGTGTGTAGCTATGAGTATTTGTGTGTGATTGTGCAAGGAGGTAGCCTATTCATGGAAGTAAGTCAGTGTCTGCGTGGCTTTTCATGGGATATAATTTGTGTATGTAAGTCTGTGTGTGTGTGTCTGTGTGTGTGAGTGTGTGCATGTGTTTTCTATTTGGCTTGTGTAGCCCTGTGTTTGGTCAATGGATGCAGAAACGTTTTAGTGTTCCCTTGACACCAAGTGATGGCTAGCACAGATGTGTCATCTGAGAGGGGTTCTGCACATCCATAATGTTCTTTCATTCTGTATGTTTCTGCATCCTCCTCTAGTGTCACTCATAGAGACCTCAAAGTGTGAGAAGGATAAAAAGAATGATTATAGTTTTATTTGATCAATCTGTCATATTCTGCTTGGGGTATTTGACCACCAATATACTGTATGTTTTTGAAATTACTGTTGATCTCCTCAGTGAAAAGATGCATTTAATTACTGTCACCAGGGTGTAGATCAGTGGAGGCTGGTGGGAGGAGCTATAGGAGGACAGTCTCATTGTAATGGCTGGAATGGTATTAATGGAACGTTGTCAAACATGGTTTCCATATGTTTGATACCTTTCCATTTATTCCATTCCAGCCATTACAATGAGACTGTCCTCCTATAGCTCCTCCCTCCAGCCTCCTCTGGTGGAGATCCTCTACTTGACATGTTTGAGACATTTAAAGAGACCTAATATTCCATCCAGGGAATCATATGCAATAGAAAATAAAAGCATTTAATTTAATACTGTGGACCACAAAGTTACACTCTACTGTTTTTGATAATCTGCCAGGAATGATTCTGGCTAAGTATTTCCATTTCCCCTCTACAGGAGGTGTTGGTAGACCATTCTTAGTGTTGTCGTGCCTGGCGTGAGGGTCATTACCACAAGGTCACAGGTCAGAGGCAACAGCAGAGTGCCAGGATGTGCTGCCTGTCAACATGGGCTCTCCTCCTAGCTCTGGGAGTCACCACTACGGCACAAGGTTGGTCTTCATTAGCAGTTACTATTTACATTCCCCTTACACATCCCTAACACGTGCACACACACAGATCCCTAACAAACACACACACACAAGAACGCTCGTGCACACAGCTCGGTTTGGGAGTTGTAACTCCATAATTCATTCACAAGGCTCAGCTTGGGAATTGCAACTATTATTTCAACTGGAAAACGTTAACAATTTTTTCAACGTGTCAAAACGTAAACCAGGATGATATCCTGTGTGTGGAAATTCGATTATCATTGATCATTTCATTATACAGTTGAGAGTATTATCTCATGTGAATTTGAGAAAAGTCAGAACAGAGGTCTCCTTGGGACATAGACAGCAGCCTGGTGATCTTCTGACTCTACAGAAGCCTATACTCCTTCTTCTCCCAAACCATTGGTAGACAGAGGCATATTGTTGCACGTCCCCATTACTGATTCTGATCCACATCCTTAAGTAGGCGGGATATGTTTAAGGCCAAGGCTAAGGAGACACTCTCTGCAATTGGCCACACAAGTATGTGCCAGTAGTATGCTTATACTGAGCCCCAATGTGAACTCAGAACGATTATAGCGTTTGGTGGGTACTGTAACTGCAATGGTCTGTGAAAAGTCAAAATATGCATTATGTAACACCGTACACTACAAATGTCAGTCTGTAAATCAGAATGAAAAATCTATCTCTTGGTTTCAGTGACATTAGTACAAAGCAGTTGATTGTTTGCAGCTGAGAGTAACGATGGGACATAAATGTAAAATATATATAATGACTCTTTTTAAACTCTTGTAGCCTTTTCACTGTTGGTCCACAACATATTTCCTTGACCGCTTTGAAACGCTATTGGCACTTTCATGTGTTGGAGCAATTCATTTGATTTCCAAAGTACACAGGGCAAATCACCAGAAAGAGATTAGAGTGTGGCATTACGTGAAGAGAAAGTACAAGTCGTTATATATTGTTCCATGACTCAGAGTATAGTTGAAAAGTTGAACGATTTGAAAGATACAGATTCTTTCCCATTGCTTTACGGGTGACCATAATACTCTAGGAAGAAATAGCCAGAGGTTTGGTCCGTCTGGTCTGAGGTTTGGCCAGTCTGGTCAGCATTGAGGCATTGGTCAGTGATGTCACAACAGGTCAATCATGAGTCATCATGAGGTGATGTTTTATAGGAACATGGAGAAGAGACAGTTCGAGAGTTGCGAGACAAAACAACCCTGCAGTGTACAACTCTGAAGGTAACATTTAACATCCCAAAATACATCTCTTTACACAATTGTCACGACTGTGGCTTTAAGTCCAGATTGTCGCTTTAAGTCTGGTTAATGTCTATGTAATAATATAGTATGAAGAACTATAACTTTCAGAATTACAGCCCAATGGCACCAGTCATGTTTACAGCAGCAGAGAAATTAGCTAAAAAATGCAATGCAATTGTTTTATGGCCAAAGAGGAAACACTGTAACTATATTATTTTATTTTCATCATTCTGAAGTAGTATTCATTGTGCGACATTCTGTGTCCAGATGACTATGAGTGGACCACTTGGTTCAACGTGGATCACCCTGGAGGTCGAGGAGACTATGAGCAGTTGGACGCTATCCGTTTCTACTACCGCGCGCGGGTGTGTGACGCCCCCCGGGCCCTGGAGGCTCGCACCACTGACTGGATCCCCGCTCGCAACACGGGGGAGAAGATCCACGCAGACCCTACCCTGGGCTTCTGGTGCGCCAACGCTGAGCAGGCCCCTGGTCGCAACTGCTCCAACTACGCTGTGCGCTTCCTGTGCCCCAAAGGTCAGTCTGGTATGTGTGGCTGGGAGCCTTACATTAAATACAGTTGAGAAGTAGCTACTGTATTATGTAAAATAAAACTGTTCTATAATAGTGAAAGCCATAATTTATCCTCCAAGCAACATTTCTAGCTACTGCAATTATATCGGTATTTTGTAATGGAGTGAAAACCTATTTTCAATCAGGCAACACTGGGTCAGAAGGCTCTCAGGATGCCTGGGGTCCTTGGTCAGACTGGAGCCATTGCTCTGCCAAGTGTGGCCAGGTGGCAATGCAGGTGCGCTCCAGGAAATGCCAGTCCCAACCTAAGCAGTGGGATAAGCAGTGCAGCGGACCTACGGTGGAGGGTAGAGCCTGCAAAGGACCTGAATGCCCTGGGACTGGTGAGTTGCTCTCAACATCTCCATTACAGCTATTACATATCTTTGAAACCTCTGTAATGTCACAGTACCATTTGCATTTTATTCTAGAAATGGTCATAGCTGAACCAATGTACAAAGGCACTGTCTGACATGCTGAACTGTATTGCTGCTGTTGTTCCAGGTTGCACACTGCACTGTGAGATGGGTAGGATGAATGTGGAGTGTGACGCCTGTATGTGTCAGGACCACATTGTACTGGGCTCTGTCCGCAGTGCTGGAGGTCTCCCTGCCCCAGGGGCCACCATCCTCCGCTTCGGCCCCAGCTCCAAACTCCTCACCCTCACCGATCACAATGGACACTTCCGCATCCCAGGGATCTGTCCCGACGGCAATGCCACACTGACCGTCCAGCTGCGGAACCACGCCCCTCACACTGTCATCGTGCCCCACAGCACCGAACGCACCTCTGTCCTCAGTATCATGCTGAATAGAGCAGGTAAAATGGCCACAAAAAAAGTAATGAAAGCTGACATTGTTACAATTCTGTTTTACATGTTACAATTCTCTGTTTTACACTGGTCTCACACACTGTAATGTGGATCCCTCAGAGAAGCTCCATGTGGTGAAGAACCCTGAGAACAAGGCCAGAAGAGAGGGCCAGACAGCTGCTCTCTGCTGCAAAGTGGGTGGATCACCAGAGCCAGAAGAGTACCAGTGGTAAGCCAATGGATCTGTAATGACCGCTTGGAAAATGTTATATATTTACCATATCAAAATCAAAGTTTTTGCTGGGTATAGTGTTCAACAGTCATCTGTAATTCGGTAGGTTTCACAACGGCAGCCTGCTGGACAGGAAGCAGCTGAACTATGACAGCACGCTGGTCTTAAGAAACCTGAGCATGGAGCAGACTGGGGAGTACTACTGCAGAGCCAGCAACCAGGCTGGGGCCATCAAGTCCAAACCAGCCATAGTCACAGTCTTAGGTTTGATCTCAAAGCACCACGGGTGATATTCACACATTCATACTTACTATTTGAACAGCCATTTGCATGACATCAGTCAATGATCAGAGGGAGAATGAAAGGGTATTGATTTTCTCATAAAATAATTCCATTGTATAATCTGTAAATATTTTAACATGTGTTGGTCTGTTTTCTACCCCTTTCTCCTCACAGGTAAAGATCAACCTTCATGTAACCCGAAACCCGAATCCTACCTTATTCGCCTACCTCATGACTGCTACCAAAACAGCACCGGCTCTCTCTATTACGACGTAGGAAAGTGCCTCTCAGGAACCTGTGCAGGACAGCTGGACAATGGAATCAGGTGCAAGGACTCAGTGGCATACTGCTGTGGGGTGGCAAAGATGGAGGAGAAACAACTAAAATGCCAGGGCTATGAGCTCACCACCATGGTGGTGACCGAGTGTGGCTGCCAGAAATGTGTGGAGACCAAAGCCATTGTGCGTGGGCGGGCTGTGGCCGCAGACACTGGAGAGCCCATGAGATTTGGTCACGTCTACATAAATGGAGCCAGAGTCAGCCGCACAGGCTACCAAGGCACCTTCTCCATCCAGGTCCCCCATGACACTGAGAGGCTGGTGATGACCTTTGTGGACAACATGGATAAGTTCGTCAACACCACCAAGGTTCTTCCATTCAACACCAAAGGGGGCGCCGTCTACCATGAGATCAAGCTTTTGAGGAAGAAGGAACCAGTGACCATCAGCTCAACAGAGCTCAACACTCTTCAGCTGGGAGAGGTGGAGGGCCAGGATCCTATTGCTGAGATCCAGATCCCACCCAACTCCTTCTACAAGCAGAGTGGAGAAGTATTTGTGGGTAATGTGAAGGCTAGCATCACTTTTCTGGATGCTAGAGACGTGTCCACAGCAGCAGCCGCACAGAGTGACCTCAACTTCGTAGGCGATGAGGGAGACACCTTGCCCCTGAGAACCTACGGTATGTTCTCAGTTGACTTCAGGGATGAGGAGGCCGGAGAACCACTGAACGCCGGAGAGGTGAAGGTGAAAATGGATTCAACACAGGTGAAAATGCCTGAGCACCTGGACACCATGAAGCTGTGGTCCTTGAACCCCGACACGGGCATGTGGGAGGAGGAGGGGAGCTTCCAAATGGAGAAGAAGCAACGTGGTAAAAGGGAGGAGAGGACCTTCCTCATTGGGAACATGGAGATCAGAGAGAGGAGGCTGTTTAACCTGGACGTCCCAGAGAACAGGAGGTGTTACATCAAGGTGCGAGGCTTCCGCAGCGATCGCTTCATGCCCAGCGAGCAGGTAGAGGGAGTGGTGGTGACCTTGATCAACATGGAACCCACTGCAGGTTACTCCTCCAACCCTCGTGCTTGGGGACGCTTTGACAGCGTCATCACTGGCCCCAATGGTGCCTGCCTGCCTGCCTTCTGCGACGACCAGAAAGCTGACGCATATTCTGCCCACGTCATGGCCAACATGGGAGGAGAAGAACTCGAGGCTGTCCCGTCTGCTCCCAAATTCAACCCCAACATCATTGGAGTCCCTCAGCCATACCTGGGCAAGCTGAACTACAGACGGTCAGACCACAATGACCCCAGGTTAAAGAAGACAGCCTTCAGCATCAATGTGGCCAAGCCCAGCCCAAACACAGCTGAAGAGCTCAATGGACCTGTGTACTCATTTGACCAACTGAAAGAGTGTGAGGAAGCCCCATTTACTGCAGGCCACTTCCGCTTCACCAGAGTGGAGGGAGATCGCTACGACTACAACACAGTGCCTTTCAACGAAGACGATCCTATGAGCTGGACAGAAGACTACCTGAGCTGGTGGCCCAAGCCCATGGAGTACCGAGCCTGCTATGTCAAGGTCAAGATCAATGGTCCCCATGAGATCAACGTGCGCTCCCGCAACCAGGGCGGCACTCACCCCAAGACCGTTGGCCAACTGTATGGCCTCCGCGACACCCGCAGCATCCGCGACATGGACCAGTCCACCGTCTCTGCTGTGTGCCTGGAGTTCAAGTGCAGTGGCATGCTCTACGACCAGGACCGAGTGGACCGCACTCTGATGAAGGTGATTCCTCAGGGCAGCTGTAAGAGGGACAATGTTAACTCCATGCTTCAAGCGTACCTGGTTAATCACCTGCCTCTAGCCGTCAACAACGACACCAATGAGTTCACAATGCTGGCACCACTGGACCCTCTGGGCCACAACTATGGCATCTACACAGTGACAGACCAGGACCCCCGCACAGCTAAAGAGATAGCACTGGGACGCTGCTTTGATGGCACCTCTGATGGCACTTCCCGTGTCATGAAGAGCAACGAGGGAGTGGCACTTACCTTTACCTGTGGCAACCGTGAGGTGACCCGTCAAAGCGTGTTCCAGGCTCCGCAGAACTCCCCCGGGCAGTCTGTGGCGAGCGCAGTGAGGGGTGGCCGAGGCAGGAGGCAGAGAGCAGGAGCCAACGCACTCCGCAACAGCCGTAGACGCAGTACTCGGAATCCCGCTGCCACACGCACCCAGAGCACCTCAGGCTAAAGCACAGCACTACAGGTCAGGGTCTCCACATCACAATCACATCAGACATGTTGGCAAATCACTAAAGAAAGTGGGTATTGGTGATGGGATTCAAATTGATATTTTAGCCCTTCAGTGAAGATACACAAGTTGTTTTTTCTTCATAATGTACTGTTTGTAATAATTTTTTATATGTTACTGAAAGATGTTTTACGATTGTGAGTAAGGCCCATAACCATAAATTCAAAACTGAACAAATATTTTGTTAGCTATAACACAGGTATCTCCCAGGGAACATTCAGTGGAGATTTTAATGTTACAGAAAATATTGTATTTTCTTCACCTGTACTGTGATGAATATTTACTACTTGAAATTGTAAATAATGGGATATTTATTACACATGCCATTCAAGGTTGTAACCAGTGATTAAGACACTACACCCCAAATAAAACAAGAACAATCCTAGAACGTGTTGGATTGCTGATTCACTTACACTTAGACAAATCTTTGTTGGCGCCATTCACAACATAGCTGACAACATTGTAGAGTGCACACTACGGACAAGTTACTTCTAATCCACGTAAGCCATAATACAACCGTCAGTGAATTCAAGTTTTAAAAAGTAGAGAAATTTTTAATTTATTCCTTTCGACCAGTGATTTTATTAAATTAAATGCATATAAAACACTGAAGAGCCAGTCATCTTTTACAGTATATTGTACACCATGTCCAATTTCCTTAACAATTTGAAAACCTCTCAAATGTTAGAAAATAGGAAAAACATGTCCCTTTCTACCATTATGAAGACACTAAGGTCAGCCCATAAGTTCCCTCCTCGTCTCACTTGATACAAGGCTGCAGAAGCAATGTTAAGGAGACCAGTTGTGTGAGAACTTGCCTGATCACAGTTATATCTGCATTAGCAGTAATCAAATTGATGAGCAAATTACCTGTTTGTCATGCACAAAAAAATACCTAAAAGCACTCTTGCTTCAACTGTTCAAGGATATTCCAGAGATGTATCCAGAGGATGGCCATGAGGTTTGAGTCACATCTATCGTAAAATTAATTAGGCTTGGGTGGTATACCATATACATTTGAAATACAGACGGTATGATTTTCAATACCACTGCTTAGAACTACAACTATCTTAGACAAGCCAAATAAATTATCTCCAGCTCAGGGCTCCAGCTATGCATTTGGTTTGCTAATTTACTAGCTGAGTGGCTAGCTTGCAAGATCAAGCTTCTTGGTTACAGCAGAGACAATCAAGCCCCTCTCGGATAAATCCCTGCTGCTTAAATTGTTTTGTGCGTACAGGACCGGTACGATGGTATGAAAATCTGGATACCGCCCAAACCTAAAATGCATTACACTTGTCAATCCATTTTTACAGTGAACGCAATAAGCCCCCTGTAAACACTCCAACTACTAAACATGTAGTGTCATTTTCAAAGCATGAACAATGCAACTTTCAATGGATAAAGATAATGTGTATTTGGCAACCTACGTTATAGATACTATATACTTTCCTGTAAGAAACCCATCGACAGGTAAAGTGAAATACCTATAATATTTATAGACATTCTGGGTGAAATTATTTGCATAGACCTAATTTGTTGTGATGTCATTGCAGTAGCAACTGGAATTAATTGACATGAGCATCATTTCTCTAAATCAAAAACATGCTCTACAAATCACATACAGCAAGTAAAGTATTTTTCACTGTGTTTTGTATCTTTATGAAGTTTGGAGACTGAATGAGAGAAAAGGCCATTTCATTATGTATTAACAGAAGTGTTGGTACTGGATGCTCCCTGTATTGTCCCTCGGATCATTGAAGCAAAATGAAAGGGCGACACATTGTTCAGGTTTTTCCAGGATGACACTGGACAGCATGAGAAGTACAGCTGCATTTCTGAGGGTTAAAGGGTAAAAAGGCAGTGGGGATATAGCTGTGGTCACATGAAGTCATCATAGTCTTGGGTGTAGCCACCATCGAATCCTCCATAGTCTGCAAGGTCATCTTTTCCCTTGGCTTTCATACCACCACCAAGTACAGCTCCTTTCTTCTTCTTTTTTGCCTTTGATTGCCTGTGGAACCAAAACAAAACTTAAACCATTGCTACAAATTAACACTTAATAAACACTTGGTGTTCTTCAAAGCGAGTTGAGTGAATATTAAAGTGAATGGGGCAACCAGGGTGTAAGTTAGTTCCTTGAGCAGAGACCAACGAAAAGCAATATGGAGGTACTGGTATAGGGCTCCCTCCACTGACCGTAAGGAGAACTACAATTCATGAAGAAAACACCAGAAGGATGACATCATTTTTGTTCAGAATGAATAAGACAGCCAACAACTTACTTTTTCTTGCTTCTGTTTTTCATTAAGTAGCACTGTCAGGGAAGAGCTGATTTTCTTTAAGTCGTCAATTTCCACTGTGTAGAAACAGGACATTTAGTTAAGACGTTATCACAATGGTTGAGCCTGAATGTTAGTGAACTCCAAATATGTCAAGTCAAACCATTATTGAATGGCTTATGTATATAAACATTTCTTGATATGAGGTATTTATGACATGTGGTTTGGTATTTGTTTTAAAGTAATAAGTTATGTGCACAAACCTAAAACACACTGAATAATAACATGTTTCATGTACAATAATTCCTGTAGGATGTTGAACTCACATGAAATACAGAGCTCCCGAAACAACGACTCCAAGAAGCTTGAATAATGCACTGATTTTTCATACTGTAATATCTTCACTTTCAGCAGCTTTTCAAACTCTGTGAAGTCTTCTTTAGAAGATGGGCACATGGCTTCAATTCCAGAAACATTGTTTGTGGTACTACCCCCTGAAATGCCTGAAATGACAAGGACAAAAACTAATGAGAACAAACAATAACAGTATGGCTGGCTAGTGGGTACACATTAAAATGAATGTTTCATGTATCAGGGATGTGATCAGGACAACATAGAAAAGCAGGAAAAATCACATCTCTGATATCTGGGTTAAACTTGACAGGATATTCCAGGATCTTACCAAAAGCCTCTTTTGCCAGCTCCAAGTCTGCTTCCTCCTGCATCTTCTGGACTTTCAACTTTTCTGCTAGCTGTTGTTCGGGTGTAAGCTCTTCCTCTTCCTCCAACTATCAACAAGAAAAAAGTAAAGGATTCATAAGAGAGAAAATATTCAGATCTGTAAGGTTAATCCAACATTTCAAAAACTCACTTTCTTTTTCAGCTCTTGTTGCTTTTTCCTTAGCCGGTTTTCTTTCTCCTTGATTTTTTCGGCCAGTTTTTTCTTCTCAGACACTTTGGCCTCTGAAACAAAAAAAGCAATGTTATAGCAAACCTCTAGAACAAAAACAACCATCAAATCAAGTTGAAATTACACATATTTTCAGCCAGTACTTGGTAATAAAAAAGGCATGGCGGCAGCCAGTATGATGCAGGAACATTTTCGTGAACTATTCACAAAAATATATACAGGTATGTGCAGATCAGCATATTACATTACAACAGGCCACAGCCACTACTTTCTCAAACCACTGTATTTCTGCACCTGCTTTCTTTGCCTCTGCTTTCTTCTCTTCCTCTTCATCATCCCAGTTATCCTGCAGAGGGAGAACATACAGGAATGTGTCGAATGATGTGACTACATCGCCTGCCTGCCTGAGGTTCTTTCTGCTTGGTTTTCGTTCTGCTTTTTCTTTCCTTTCTTTTGACCCCCGTTTGTTTGGTATTTTACTAGAAGCTAAAATGATTATTGAAAGCAAAACACATCTGCATTTTTCTTTTGATTTTGTGATGAAAAAAGCTAACCCATGATGACATCAACCAAACCAATAATGATTTTACTTGCAAATGACTTCATCGATCAATAAAATTTTTTTGAAATATGGCTTTGACACCTGCTCTTGCTTAAACAATTTGTAGCATTTGTGTTGAGATGAAACAATCATTGTGAGCAGTTGATATTGACATTGCTTCCAGTCCCCTAAATAACCCTTCTGGATGGATTTAGGTTTGTTTTTTGGTCCATTTAAAGCAGACAAATGGTAATGTCTTTGTCTTATTTGAACAGTGTAAGGCATGCGTTTGCTCATCATTATATTTTCTCCTAAGCGGTAGGATAACAGTCATTTACGGTCATGGACCACCATTACTTTTATTGCAATACTGATTGAATGTAGCCAGGAAGGGCATAAAGAATAATAAAACAAAGTTTCGAAGTAATGGAAATGCCACTTTACCAAACTTATTCTGGAGAAAAACAAATGTATCCCATTGCAGCTGTTCAAGCTGATTATCTGTTCTTAGTTCACCAACTGAAATCATTTTCACATGTGCAAAATTCCAAGTTCTGTGGTTGATAGAGTCCCCTGTAGCTCAGTTGGTAGAGCATGGCACTTGCAACGCCAGGGTTGTGGGTTCGTTTCCCAAAATGTATGCACTCTAACTGTAAGTCGCTCTTCTGCTAAATGACTAAAATGTAATGTAAATGTACATAATACTGGGTAGTTTAGCGGTTGGTTCTGGGACTTTTCTAGGTCTTCACTTAATTTTCTAGGAAATCAACAAGATCTGAATTTATGGGACCAACTGCATTATCAAACATCAGAAGACATGTCAGAACCAGTCACATCATTATCACAAAAAGCGGTTATGTAAAGCATTTCAACCAATATTTGGCAAATGTGTCATATCCATTGAGGCCCTAATAAGGGAATAAGAGAAGTACCTAGCCCAAGCCTTATCCAAAAAGACACCAAACATTTCTCTCAAAACAACTGTAGGCCTACTGTACTGATCAAGTTTTGTTTTAGGGACACGAATACACCATATGACTTGAACACTACCTATATTCCACAGAAACCATGGTCAACAACAAACTGCTTTGCTAGCCTTTTCCACAGCTGTATGATCCCATAGTATACATTCGGTTGACTTTCTAGACATACATGGTGAAAATGAATCAACGAGAAAAGTCTGTTGAAGAGGGTTCTCGAAAACACACTTTACTTTTCGCATATGTCAGTTGGAAGCACCTTAGTAGTAGTAAGGCTCAATTCAGTGATCTGGTATCATCAGGGCAGAATAATGACGTTGGCAACTAACGTTAGCCAGCTAGTTTTCATTTAAGTGCCTATTTATTAAATGTATAACACAAACAAAGCCTTAAACTGACTTCATCAATGACTAATCGCAGTCAGATTATTACATTTACATTTTAGTCATTTAGCAGACGCTAAATGAGATTATGATGAATGTACCTCTTAAAGCTAGATAGCTAGATAGTCAACACATTAGTTCAGACCTAACTAGCTAGCTGCTAACCTAAAAAGCTAAATTAGTTCTGTAGCTAGCTAGTCAGTAACTACATAATAATAATAACTACATGTCAGTAACGTTACACCATGGAATCTCCCCAACTCAGAATGCAACAAATCTACAGTAGCTTCTAACCAGCCCAAAAAAACATGGCCAACGTAGTTAATTCAAAAACAAAAGTGCCCGAGAATGAGTCTGTGCTCAGCTCGAACCAGGAGACACACGTCGACATTTTTCACATGTGCGGCCTCACAGCTTGTACAGTATCGACCTAGCTAAGATATACAACCGTTAGCTAACTAGCTAGAAACGTGGATAACGCTAGGCTAGTTGGCGGCTAACTAGCTAGCCAACTAATGTCCACAGACTAACTAGCAAGGCGTGTTGTGTTAGCCACAACTAATGGGTTAATTATGACTTGAAAATCATCTGTAAAATGGCCTGTATCATGTAACTAGCTATCTAGTTAGTTGTCTGGTTACCTTCACATCTTCATCTTCGTCTTCGCCTTCCCATTTGTCCAGCACTACCGCCGTTTTGATCGGCGCGACGTCCGGCTCGAAGTTGTCAGCGTCTATAAATGCACATTATAACGGTAACTAAGTTATCTTGAACGTTCAAAACGATATACTAGCTAATATCAATAACAATGTTACCCATCTTTCCCAAATCCCTAAATATAGCTGTCGTACGATATCATTTCTAACTTTGTTCTCACCCCAATCGTCGGCATCCGCCATCTTGGCTGTGTGTGTGCGGTTTGACAGACCTCTCAACTGAACTGAAAGCAGCAAAGCAGATGGCGGAAGTAGACAACGAGGCTTTACAGCTCTGTAATGCTGGGAGTTGGTGCTCTTTTTTTTTTTTCAAGAAAGGAAAGCCCCTTCATGGAAGAGTATGCCTTTTATTGAGTAAAAAAAAGTCGCACTGTACCTCAATCGTAAATTTTTATCTTTAATATTAAATATTTAAAGGCACAATCTGTCATTTCAACACCATGACCCTGCCACTTTGTTTAGGAAATGTAGGTGAAGCTATTAGATGACGGACAGCTCTATATTAAACATATTTTTCAGTTAAACATTTTGTTTACAACAAATCAAATTAAAAAGGAATACAATGTAGAAGTCCTTTATTAGCAACATATTTATGCCTGTGTATTCACACAACAATACAAAACTCACAGCAATTACAATACATGGAATAAATACCCAAAAATGATTTGCAATGAGTGTTATATAGGCTAGATTATTTTTGTGTTACAGAAATATTGGTATGGTAACAACTTTAGAATGGAGTCTACTGGACTACTTATAAACCATTAACAGACCCTTTATAAAGTACACCATGTAAATTGTTGCCGAAATACTTTACAGGTAGACAAGGATTTCAAAACATAATTTAGAAACATAATAATGCTCAAATAATAGAAAACATCACTGCACTTTTGAGATAGAACCACATGATTACTCTTCTCTTTCCATTTAAAACAATTACATTTAAGCAATAAAACAAGATTTTATTCAACCTTAAACCTAACAAAATAATTATGTCTAAACTAATGACTACAACTCTGCAATGTGCAATACATAAATGCTCAAATATTTTTTCTTCACTCAGAGAATAGGCCAATAGCAAATGCATGTCTCTTCAGTGCTGATAGAAATAAATAACCACACATTATCAAATCAACATTACAATAGCCTGAAGGGCTACTCAAATATATTGCACTTATTGTTTAACATGGTAGTTGTGTAGGAGAGATTCCTCCTGGCCCATTAGGGGTGAGGAATTTATCCATCAGAAGGGGAGGGCCATTACAGGGCAGAAACTAACAGCACCATCAGCAGTCCCAGAAGGTGACAGTGAGGACTAGTGCACAGTGCCAGCCCTGATGAACTGCCTGCATGGGGACACAAAAAAGCAACACCATAACTGTATGGAGACAAAGTCAACAACATCAACTCAACAATACAAGCATCATACGATTGCATCCTACATCCAACAAGTACTCAAACATTTGCTTGAGCTGTCCTTCTTCCACTAGCTCTGGATTATTCAGACTCAAAGTTACAAAATATACATGCTGAAAGTATGTACTGACATAATACGCATCTAATTTAATTACACTCTACTGTGAACAAGACAATGTCTGCTTCAGCGAAAACATGTGAGGCGGCCTACGAAAACCCGTCGGATATCGCGCCCTCATTGTTGGGAAAAAGCCCAAATGTGGAAGTTGAGATTTTTGTTGTTTTGGATACTTTAAACCCTTTACTTTATTGTAATGTAAAACATATTGCATTATTACTTAAGGAAATAGTTAATTTCCCTGGTTTTTTGTCGTTAGCTAGCAATGTGCCCAATGTGAAAAACGCTAGCTTAAATTTCCCTGAGTGTCGCAGTTGACTTGGCCCATTCAAGATAACATGCTACAGATTAATGAAATCAGGCTGGTTTAGACAGAATAATTTGCTAGATAGTTATTAATATAAAGTTGTAATCTACAACCAACAATGTAGTTATGAATACAAGTGGGTCGGATTTTCATTGTCTACAAGTAGCCGTAGTCTACGCCGCAGCAAACGTTCATAAAAGAGGTTCACACTTTCTTCGGATGTTTCTTGATCAGTGGGTAGGCCTATTAATGGCCAAAATGACATGAAGTGATAAAAATATAGAAACACTATTGCAGTAATTTCAGCAGTTCAGAATTATTTTGATTTTAGGTAACAAAGCAATTGATATCCTATTCTAAAACTTGGTGGAAGTGAGAGGCATATTATCTGTCATTTTGAGCCGCATCCAATTTCTTGTTAGCCCTGGCCACTCTCCTTCACTCCCCTCAAAGATGTAAAATAGGATAGGTGTAGAGTGCACAGGCGAGAAAGGGTGCGATTGGGATTGGGCTCCTGTCATCGTAACATTGCCTACGCACGCAGTCTTTCCTTTTTGTAGTTAGTCAATCATTTGATTTGATCAATCATCGTTAAAGCTGACAGCAGATTTCACAGATAAATATCGATGTTGTTTGTTTTAGATATTCTGTCACATCATGGATGGAGAGATGAGAGAGCATCTTCAATGAGGAGAAAGCAAGGTATGTTACGCTAGTTAAGTACACAATGTATTTGCTAGACTTTATCAAACCTACCAGGCCTTCACTACCTGCATCTACTTTGTATTTGTTCAAGGTAGGCTTTAAAAAAGTCAACATTTCACCATATGAAGGGTTTCCCTAGGCCGCCACACATGGAAATCATCTAAGAAAATGGTGTACACTTGAAATATTTCAGCAGGTGAAAGTTAATTACCACGGAAGTCAACAGGTTTGTCATCCCAGACGGTCAGCACCATAGACATAGCTGTCAGCTGCACAGGAGACAAAAGCGAGCGCTGGGCTTCAGTCACCGCTTTGGCCTGTTCATAGGAGAACATGCTGATATGGGCTGGGTCAAACACGACCTGAGGACACACGGACAATTCACATGAACACAACAAAGAAAAACAACAATTTGATGGTGGGGCAATACAAAACATGGAAGATAAACTGACTTTTTGAATCCTTACACTTACAGCAAACTTGTCTGCCCGGATGAGGGACACAGCCAGAGGTGTAAGTCCTTCAACCTGCTCCTTCACCAAAGATGACATGGCCATATCTGGGAGGCCAGCTGCAGATAGTAAGAGGATTTGAAACTAATTTCAGGCACTAGACATATTTGCGGTAGAAAACCAACAAAAGGCATGTAATGTACCTGCCAGTGCTCCAACCTCAATGAAGACCTCAGGGCCCCAGGAGCTCATGGGTCCGAAAGCCAGGCTATGGCTCAGCAGTCCCGTTAAAGCCTGCTGCTGCTCTTCTGAACAGGCCAGCCTCAGACGGCCCAACCACAGAACTGCCTTACTGCAGCCAGGAGGGGGAGAGGTGAGTTACAGCCAATTATTTATATATATACTAAATGACTGACAGAGGGCGGTGTTTTGTAGCCACCGTGCCCCGATCTTGGCACTCCCACCATTGTAAAATTTTTTGGGAAGCTATAGAAATGCATTTATTAAGGTCTACATTTATTTTAGCCACTTTTATTATATTACAGACACCTTAATGCATACTTTTAAATTATATTATGTGAGCTAAACATAAAAAAATATATAGATACGTTTTCTTTCCTTAAAGTATACATTTTAGAAAGTACTAATGTTACTGTCCCCACAACAACAACAAAAATACTGAAATACATGTAATTTTGTTCTTGAAACATTTCATTGAAATACTTTAGAATTCCACTCATCCCTATGGAAGACTGCTTCTTCTGGGGAGTGCCAATATGGCCGACCTGTGGCTTCAAAGACGCTCATTGGCCAATACATAGCACCAGCAATCCAGGGTTTATATGAGATTTCTATAAACTAGGGTACCAGTGATTTCCTACACTGGACAATTTGTTACAGCTGTTCGTAAGTAATTGATAATAATCCAATTTGTTTAAAACATGTCATTACATTAAGATAAGGGGGGATCATAGCTATATTCAATAAAATTCACGAGTTTATTTAAAACCTACTGTATGTTTAACCCTTTATCATGGTTGGTGTCTTGACTGATTTGTCCAAAATCGTGACATATAAAACATTACTTTTCTGTCCTTGCATTTATGGCAGTATAAGTTGTCGTTATATCATATATTAAGCATTATTCAGTTAAATTAGACATTGAACTTTAACCCTGTAAGAATCCTGGATCTAGCTGTCAGACAGTTTTTTGTATAGAGATCTCAGAAATGCAGTGTAACTACATAACATTTAGTATCTCCTTATGTTACAGGTAAAAACAGTTTTCATGGCCGCAAAATCGAATGCTTCTAACCGAAAGAGTCACCTTACCTAGATACTTAAAACCTAATTCGATACGGTCATTCATGTGGGTTCTTCAGTAATTATGCACAATACTTGTTGGATGCGCATTTGGTGTCCAGCTGACTAGTTACGCCATGATATTTTCACACATCATCGTCTGATCCAGGAAGGAATTTTCAGAATGACAGTCAAGTGCTGAACAGCTGTTGCGATAGCGCATGCGATGCAACAGCTCAAGTGCTAGAAAAAAAGGTGTTTGTGAGAAAGGTCCAGAATATTTTGGTGTCTCATTCGTTACACCAGTGAAGACAGTTGGGCCTGGATCCACGTTTGATCATCTGTTGTCTGTTAGATTTAACAGAGAAAGCATCGGTAATGAGTTCATGTTTTCATATGTTTTTGTGCCTCGGATTGGAAACCAAGTCTACTGTGCGCAATTGTGTAGGATAGACTATTGCACAACACCCAACGCTATTCCTATTAATTATTCTGGATATAATGACAACAAATTACATAGTCTAGTAGGCTTATTCACAATATGACCTTGTAATGAAATAACATTACATATACATTTTGTTTTCCATGTTAGATCTGCAATTGTAAACAATACAAAGGGCTTGAAGTAGCCTACTTGAACTTGAATTTGGAGCTCAGAAATTCAAGTGCTGGAATAGGCCTCATAGCCTCGAGAAGGAGGGGTGCTGAGGGTGCTGCAGCACCCCCTGAAAAATCAGAATTGAAAATAAATATTCATCAAATATTCTCACAAAAGTAGTGCACTGGGCCTTTACTAGTCCTGTATTAGCAGACCGATATAGCAGTCTGTAGCGAGGCCCAAAAAAATTGTTCTGCCCCGCCCCAAATTGACTTTCCATACAAATCTTTCCATTGAAAAAGGAACCTGGTTTTTGGTCACTTTCTCATTATAAAAACAGCGATGGTGAGATTCAAATGGTGAGATTAATGATACCGCTATTCATTGCTTTATTGTGTGCCTGCGTCAGCCACATAGGCTGCATTATTCTTAAAGTGGTAATGGCATACTTTTTTTTTTTACACTTTTTGCATGCTTTTTGGGGTGGGGTGGGGGGGTTCTATAGTAGGCCCTACATGTACAATTATACACTTGTATAACATTGAGGTCCTTGAAAATTACAATTAAGTGCTTGAAAAAGTCCCTGAAATTCCTTGAATTTGACTTGCCAATGTCTGTATGGCCTATGTTGTCCTATGTTGTTCTTTAGGTGGAGTTATGGGACAATTTGCATATATTTACTTTTATTCCTTTAAGTACACATGTGGAACTGCATGAAAATCCTTTTTATTTTAGTTTCAAACCATTTTGAAATGTTGATCCCAATGTCACACATTGGCCCCATTATTTATAGAATGACCCATATACAGTACATCATTGGTTACAGCATGTAGAATGAGAGGAGGGAGAAACAGGTTGGATAAAGGTTAAGAAGACACACATAGGGGAGGTTAAACATGAAAAATGTGGAAATGCAAACTATTTTTAATGGTAAAAACACAGCACCTATAACACTCTCTCTCTCAATTGGGTCTCTCTCTGATTTGAGTATGTCTCTAATCTCACCTGAACTCTACTGCATTCAGGGAGCGCATGTCTGAGTCCTTGATCCCACACAGTATGTGCCCCATAGCCACCAGGGTGCTGGAGTCCAGCTGACTAGGACCCACCTGGGTGGAGTTGAGGACAGAGGAGGACAGCACAGCCAGCTGGGACAGGAGAGACAAGGATTGCAAAGGCACCACACACACACACACACACACACACACACACACACACACACACACGGGCACACCAAAGCAGGTAAGACATTCAGTAGCACTTCACTTGATACCCAGCGTCATAACACGTTATGACACGGTCATAATGCAATAATATTGTATGTCATAACAGCTGACATAACTTGTCATAACACTGTCATGACACATATTTAGACCTGCTGTGACATATATTGCGTTATTTTATGGCTGGTTATGACACCTACATAAGAGTTTCAAATTGCGCAAAACCTACCACACAAGGCAAAACATTCCATTACACCATGACCTACATGTCAACAGTATGTTTATGTTATATATTTAAATAAATACATTTACCATATTAAATTATCCTTCTAATTGCGCACACATTGATGTCAGACAGGCACCTACCCCAATGCTCTGTTGATGATGACTGGGATGAATGCAGGAGCAGATTTCAGGAGCAGGACAAGACACCCTATTTTTGACTGATGACTGATATAAGGGCATGTACATGATAGGCCTATCTGGCTTCTATGATTATGATGGTTATAATGCTTCTTGACAGTGTCATAAAGTGTATTTTCTTATTCCAAGTAAAGGGACACAGGATGGTCATAATGCTTCATGACAGTGTCATAAAGTGTATTTTCTACAAGGTATTTAAAATACACTGCTCAAAAAAATAAAGGGAACACTTAAACAACACAATGTAACTCCAAGTCAATCACACTTCTGTGAAATCAAACTGTCCACTTAGGAAGCAACACTGATTGACAATACATTTCACATGCTGTTGTGCAAATGGAATAGACAACAGGTGGAAATTATAGGCAATTAGCAAGACACCCCCAATAAAGGACTGGTTTTGCAGGTTGTGACCACAGACCACTTCTCAGTTCCTATGCTTCCTGGCTGATGTTTTGGTCACTTTTGAATACTGGCGGTGCTTTTACTCTAGTGGTAGCATGAGACGGAGTCTACAACCCACACAAGTGGCTCAGGTAGTGCAGCTCATCCAGGATGGCACATCAATGCGAGCTGTGACAAGAAGGTTTGCTGTGTCTGTCAGTGTAGTGTCCAGAGCATGGAGGCGCTACCAGGAGACAGGCAAGTACATCCAGGCTCTGTCGCAGCCGGCCGCGACCGGGAGACTCATGGGCGGCGCACAATTGGCCCAGCGTCGTCCAGGGTAGGGGAGGGAATGGCCGGCAGGGATGTAGCTCAGTTGATAGAGCATGGCGTTTGCAACGCCAGGGTTGTGGGTTTGATTCCCACGGGGGGCCAGTATAAAAAAAAAAAATGTATTAACTAACTGTAAGTCGCTCTGGATAAGAGCGTCTGCTAAATGACTAAAATGTAAATGTACATCAGGAGACGTGGAGGAGGCCGTAGGAGGGCAACAACCCAGCAGCAAGACCGCTACCTCCGCCTTTGTGCAAGGAGGAGCAGGAGGAGCACTGCCAGAGCCCTGCAAAATGACCTCCAGCAGGCCACAAATGTGCATGTGTCTGCTCAAACGGTCAGAAACAGACTCCATGAGGGTGGTATGAGGGCCCGACGTCCACAGGTGGGGGTTGTGCTTACAGCCCAACACCGTGCAGGACGTTTGGCATTTGCCAGAGAACACCAAGATTGGCAAATTCGCCACTGGCGCCCTGTGCTCTTCACAGATGAAAGCAGGTTCACACTGAGCACATGTGACAGACGTGACAGAGTCTGGAGACGCCGTGGAGAACGTTCTGCTGCCTGCAACATCCTCCAGCATGACCGGTTTGGCAGTGGGTCAGTCATGGTGTGGGGTGGCATTTCTTTGGGGGGCCGCACAGCCCTCCATGTGCTCGCCAGAGGTAGCCTGACTGCCATTAGGTACCGAGATGAGATCCTCAGACCCCTTGTGAGACCATATGCTGGTGCGGTTGGCCCTGGGTTCCTCCTAATGCAAGACAATGCTAGACCTCATGTGGCTGGAGTGTGTCAGCAGTTCCTGCAAGAGGAAGGCATTGATGCTATGGACTGGCCCGCCCGTTCCCCAGACCTGAAAACTAATTGAGCACATCTGGGACATCATGTCTCGCTCCATCCACCAACGCCACGTTGCACCACAGACTGTCCAGGAGTTGGCGGATGCTTTAGTCCAGGTCTGGGAGGAGATCCCTCAGGAGACCATCCGCCACCTCATCAGGAGCATGCCCAGGCGTTGTAGGGAGGTCATACAGGCACGTGGAGGCCACACACACTACTGAGCCTCATTTAGACTTGTTTTAAGGACATTACATCAAAGTTGGATCAGCCTGTAGTGTGGTTTTCCACTTTAATTTTGAGGGTGACTCCAAATCCAGACCTCCATGGGTTGATACATTTGATCTCCATTGATAATTTTTGTGTGATTTTGTTGTCAGCACATTCAACTATGTAAAGAAAAAAGTATTTAATAAGATTATTTCATTCATTCAGATCTAGGATGTGTTATTTTAGTGTTCCCTTTATTTTTTTGAGCAGTGTATGATGAAAAAAACATTACAACAACAAAGGATTTAAGAAAAACTTTCAACCGAAAGGAAACTTCTTGGCAGGGAAAAAACTAATTTGAATAAATATGTAGGTGTCATAACCAGCCATAAAATAACGCAATATATGTCACAACAGGTGTAAATATATGGGTCATGACAGTGTTATGACCATATTATGACAGGTTATGACAAGTTATGTCAGCTGTTATGACACGTTATGACATGGTTATGTCCGTGTCATAACGTGTTATGACACTGGGTGTCAAGTAAAGTATTATCGACATTCAAAAACATCAAGACTACACCAAACTACACACATATAAACAAAAACATTGAACCAGATTGTCAGACTGATTGTTAGCTACCTGTCTGCTGTTCCAGGTGCTGACTGCCCCCAGTGCAGAGATGGTGCTCAGCTCAGACAGCCTGATCACACTCAGCTCTGCCACTGAAAGCTGGGAGGCTATACGGCCCAGCTGAGTAATCACAGAGGAGGAGAAGGAGCGGGCCGCTCCATAGATCTACAGACAACACCGAGAAATAGAACAGAGACACTGCCTCTGTTAGTTAATGCAACCAGAGCACCAACAGAAGACGGATAAATCAGACACTGGACCCATTTTGCAAATGGTTTGAAGAGTGATGTACAAGGTGATTTGGTTGTTTGAAATTTCTACATAGGAACTACAGTGATGTTTCTTGTTATGGGTCAAATATGTACCTCTTTAGTTTTCTGGAGGAGTAATTTGTGTTGGTATGGTAAAAAGAAGGGGTCCTGGCCAAAGAGCTCCAGACTACAGCTGAAGGCGGCAGACGACATGCCTGTCAAGCTGTCTGTGCTCCAGGCTGAAGGCAGTGTCGTATGCAGCTTTTCACATGTGGGGATCAATGCAGGAGCTGGGAAGAAACAAATGGACAAAAACAGATGGATATACTATATACAGAGGGAAATGTATGTAAACATTTAACAAAATAGTCTTATGTTCATCTGTTTGGCAGTAAGGTTGGGGAGTAAGACAGAGGTCTCAATGTGAGACAGAGTGGCACTCACGTGTGACCCGGCCCACTTTGAGAAAACCCAGGAAGTACTGAAGAACAAACTGCTGCCTCTCAAACAGCTGTGTCTGTTCAACCTGGTCCCGGCCCTGAATGCAGAGGGCCCCAACAGCACCTGACTCCCACTGGCGCTGACTCAGAAACAGCCTCTCTATACGCCCCTGGGTCATCAGGGCCTGAGGACACACACACACAGACAGACACACAGACAGACTGACAAGGGGCCAACAGGTCAGGGCAGCATAGCACCTGATCCTCCTGACACCTCTAGAAGTCCTGTCAGTGGACACCAGCAGGTTTCATTTACAGATCCATCCTTTCCTGATTCCTGGTGTCGTGTAGCAATTGTAACACCTCTCAATAACTTTAAGGACACCCAAATAAATGAATCATGACAATGGTCAAATCAATTGCAAAGGAACTAACCCTGAATAAATAATGAAAATGGATGTGTTAAAGACTGAGGGAAAAAGCAGGAAAGCCACCTGGGGAATCTGCTGCAGCTTCTCTTTGGGAAGGAAGAATATGAATCTGTCTACTTGATTGAGTGTCTCAGGGGTCCAGTTCTGAATGGGGCTAAAAGGGCACAAAAAGACTCATTTTTCATTTGATGTGAGGAGACGGAGGAGTTATAACGAGAGGTTAAATGGGGTGTGTTTTGTGATGTGGGGTGGTTGTTTAAGAAGGTGCTACAGTACCCGAAAGTGCCTGGCTCCTGTAGGATCTGTGCAACAATGTCTCTCTTGCTGCTGTTATAGCAGAACTCTCGGAGGAACTCCAGGCTCTCCACAAAGAAGCTCCGCACCAGCTGCACAAACACCTCATCCACTACATAGGTCGCCATGATGCCCAGTGAACGGAACTCATCCTCAGTGAACTCTCCTGTGTACATGCCCTGGGGGAGAATACATTTTCAACTTATACCTGTAGATCATTTTCAACATAAAGATTTCAAATCGAAGACACCCAAGTTAAACCCCAGGCTGAATGTGTTAGCAGTAATGGGGTACAGGAGAGGGTACTGACAAGTCTCTGCACCATCTTGTCCACCAGAATATCCTGTTTTGTACTGGGTAGGAGCAGGAAGTGATGGGGGTCTTGCACAATCATCTTCCTGAGAGTGTCCATCATGTCGGCTGGGAACTTCTTAATAGTGCTCACCCTACAAATGCACACACACAAGAGCATGCACACACACCACACAGGTACACACAAACAGGAACACACACACACAAAGTTGACCGTGATGCATTGTTGATGCTCAGACCATCTGTAGTGATGATTAATGGCAGTAAGGCAGACTCACGGCAGGGCCAGAGCGATCTGAGAGCCAAGCTCTCCCAGCAGCTCAGAGAAGAAGTCAAAGTAGTACAGCTCCTCGATGATGCACTTTTTCTGTAAGTCAAGACAAAAGCATGAGGGTCGTCAATTATGCTTATATAACAGCTATCTTTATACCTGACGTCTGGCATGGTTCCACTGTTAACTCAATTAACTGGCTCAGAGGAATGTGGTTAAGTATTTGCTCATGTACCAGTGAGGTATGGAGAGGAACAGACTGCTTTTTCATGAATGCAAGGACACTCCGCATTGAGGAAAATGATGGCTTGTACCGGAAGAGCTGTCGTAGGGCTGTGCAGCTTACACCTCGAGCAATGCTTCCGAGGGCACTGTATAACCGTAGAGACAAAATAGATTAGAAATATGAATGGGAGCACATTCACAAGAGGTTAGTACTAAATCAACTGCAGCTATGTTGACATAGATATGCACTCACAGAAACTTCTCAGTGGAAAAATTGGGCATGGTCTTCACTGCTTCTTTAAAAAGAGTTTTAGCCTGGGAAAAGAATCCAAAAGCGATCATTAGTATTGATCACAAACAATCTCCCAACACACATACAGACAGCCAGAGAGAGAATACCCTGCAGTGCTATAGAGGTGATTTGCGGTTTTGGAATACGGTTTGACTGTTTTGAGGTGTGTAGTAATTCAGTAGCACAGTGTTGTTGTGCTTCACCACTTCAGAGTGTGCATAAACATGCAGGATGTGGGAGCTGTGATGTAATGGTGCTGGCAGGCCCTCCTCAGGCCCATTAGTACCAACACACAGGGGATTATAGGGCAGCTTTCAAGGCCAGTGTGGTTAACCAGACCAGACCAGCGCTAGGCTAGCAGGAGCGAGAGGGCCATCGCACGTCTGAGACAGCACCTCCTTGTGACAGCTGGGACCTGGTGTGTGTGTGTGTGTTGACAGTGACAGATACTGCGTGTGTTCAGGACATAGAATAGCCTATTTAAACAGTCAGGGCAGGGGTTATACAACAGGCCGACCTCCCCACTGACGGTTAATTATTTAACATCTAATCAAGACTGTCATACACACCTCCGCATATGTTCCGAATGATAGAGGAGAGACCCACATTGCATAACATGCTGACATCTTTAGACACACACTCAGAAATCCTTTTAAAATCTCTAATTTCATTGGGTGAATAAAATCACTAAGTATTTAGGGATAGATAGTTCCTATACTGATATGCATGAATTGTATCCCCTTGAAAATGACTTGCAGGTCACAGGTATTGCTGGATCAGAGAGGACAGGAGTCAGCTCATAGATGTTACCTGCTGAGTGTTCCAGGCTTGTCTTTCTGCCGAGGTCCTGTTGGTCAACAGCAGACGAGCCCTGGTCAGCACACTGAGTAGAGGGGTGCTGGGGAGCAGGGGCTCCACCTTATCCAACCAGCCAGTCACCTCTGGTGAGCCCTGGACAAAGGTCAACACAACACAGAGTATAGTGACTAAACGACACCATTAAAGTAGATTTCAATGATGACTAAATGGGCTTCTGACAAACACTATCAGTACACACAATTTGTTGGTGGAATGTAAATACATGTTCACAAACCATAAAAAATGACTCAGGCAAACAAAAGAGGGGTAATTACAAATGTGTCAGGGTGACCTCATTCATGCATAGTTGGCACCTCCTCTCTAAGGAAACAGCCCAATGCTGAGCCTGCCCAGTGTGTCTGTCTATCCCTGGCTCTGGTTCTTATGGAGCATACAGCTCCAGCTGGCACAGGGCCACAGCACCCCTATCTGACTGCCAGGCAGGGCAAGGAGCCTGGGTACACCTGGGCGTGCCAGCTGCTGTCCCCCTCCACACTCCACCTGCACCTTGCTCTCCTCCTCTCCGTTCACTCTCAATTGGTTATGGTCATGCATGCATACTGACAGAGCCTTGTAAACATACCTCCCACTGAGCCAAGAGTAGCAGCGTACTGCCTAAGCCATGTTACTGTGTACCTTGTCGATTGTCTTCATTTTGTATGAGTGAGCATGTCGCTGTTTGTGAGGATGGGTGTCAGTGTTGGTGAGTCCGTCTAAGGCCGTACCCAGAGTTTGGTGGTGATGGTGTTGGCCTGTGGGTGGTTGAGGCCGGGTGTGTGCAGGGCGATGTCAGGCAGGGAGGACAGCAGTGTGTCAGAGGGCAAGCTCCGCAGAGTCTCCACCTTCACCCCACTCACCAGAGAGCCCAGCTTCTGCAGCTGCCCCGGTAGAGCCAGCTAGAAGGGACACAAGGAGGGAGAGAGAGCGAAGGGAAAGTTGGAGATATGAAATACAGTGGGGGAAAAAAGTATTTAGTCAGCCACCAATTGTGCAAGTTCTCCCACTTGAAAAGATGAGAGAGGCCTGTAATTTTCATCATAGGTACACGTCAATTATGACAGACAAAATTTGAAGAAAAAAAATCCAGAAAATCACATTGTAGGATTTTTAATGAATTTATTTGCAAATTATGGTGGAAAATAAGTATTTGGTCAATAACAAAAGTTTCTCAATACTTTGTTATATACCCTTTGTTGGCAATGACACAGGTCAAACGTTTTTTGTAAGTCTTCACAAGGTTTTCACACACTGTTGCTGGTATTTTGGCCCATTCCTCCATGCAGATCTCCTCTAGAGCAGTGATGTTTTGGGGCTGTCGCTGGGCAACACAGACTTTCAACTCCCTCCAAAGATTTTCTATGGGGTTGAGATCTGGAGACTGGCTAGGCCACTCCAGGACCTTGAAATGCTTCTTACGAAGCCACTCCTTCGTTGCCCAAGCGGTGTGTTTGGGATCATTGTCATGCTGAAAGACCCAGCCACGTTTCATCTTCAATGCCCTTGCTGATGGAAGGAGGTTTTCACTCAAAATCTCACGATACATGGCCCCATTCATTCTTTCCTTTACACGGATCAGTCGTCCTGGTCCCTTTGCAGAAAAAGAGCCCCAAAGCATGATGTTTCCACCCCCATGCTTCACAGTAGGTATGGTGTTCTTTGGATGCAACTCAGCATTCTTTGTCCTCCAAACACGACGAGTTTAGTTTTTACCAAAAAGTTATATTTTGGTTTCATCTGACCATATGACATTCTCCCAATCCTCTTCTGGATCATCCAAATGCACTCTAGCAAACTTCAGACGGGCCTGGACATGTACTGGCTTAAGCAGGGGGACACGTCTGGCACTGCAGGATTTGAGTACCTGGCGGTGTAGTCTGTTACTGATGGTAGGCTTTGTTACTTTGGTCCCAGCTCTCTGCAGGTCATTCACTAGGTCCCCCCGTGTGGTTCTGGGATTTTTGCTCACCGTTCTTGTGATCAGGTGAGATCTTGCGTGGAGCCCCAGATCGAGGGAGATTATCAGTGGACTTGTATGTCTTCCATTTCCTAATAATTGCTCCCACAGTTGATTTCTTCAAACCAAGCTGCTTACCTATTGCAGATTCAGTCTTCCCAGCCTGGTGCAGGTCTACAATTTTGTTTCTTGTGTCCTTTGACAGCTCTTTGGTCTTGGCCATAGTGGAGTTTGGAGTGTGACTGTTTGAGGTTGTGGACAGGTGTCTTTTATACTGATACTCAATTTGTCTGTCATAGTTGACGTGTACCTATGATGAAAATTACAGGCCTCTCTCATCTTTTTAAGTGGGAGAACTTGCACAATTGGTGGCTGACTAAATACTTGTTTCCCCCACTGTAGTGTGTGGGGGTGGGGGTGGAGGACAATATGGAGAAATAGAGAGAGGGATAGTCTATTTCTAACTCATCATTCAAACACTTTTAATAATGCAAAAATCATCTATTAAATGAAAGTAGATACAAAAGATACCTCTGACAAATTGGTCTTGCTCTTTGTAACACTATACAGCCATTAGATACGAAGCCAATACAGGTAGAGTGTCATCTGGTGTATAATGAGGTAGGAAACATACATCTTGACAGGGTTGTGTGGTTTGCCATGGTGATAGTGTGTGTCCTTGAGTCACCCCTGGCCAGGCTGCACTAGGCTTTGGGCCAGCTGGCTCAGAATGGACCATTAATATGCACAGAACCATTACACTGAAAAAGAGACACTCTCCAACATTTAGCATACCATATCTGAGACAATACGCAACCCTGTTTACAATCCCTATTTAAAACAGAAAGCCATGTCCTTCAAAAACGGAAATAATACTTACACTGTTGTTTAGAGACAGTTTGTCCACAATTACACCGGCCTAGAATGACATCACAAAAAATTTAAAAAAAAAATCATTATAACTGGTGTTAACGCTGTTTTATTAACATTCTATTTTTGAAATGGAAACTACTTGGCGAAATGAAGAAAAGCCCACTGGGCTCAAGAAAAAAACAAATGCTTTATTTTCTGCTTTTGTTTCCCCACCCTACCGTTCCATTGACTAAGACCCCTTATGGCACATGGCAGGCAGCAGCCGTGAGGCACATGTTGAAAATGTGGGGGCAGTTGTGCCTCTGTAATCAAAGGGTCAAGGCACCTCCAGAACCCCCTCACCTCACCTGGGGTCAGTATGCTGCAGACTGACTGCTTGTCAGCTGTCATGAAGCCCCTACTAATCAACCCTCATTCTAACCCCATAATCACCCCCACCCTATGTTACTGGAGCAGGGCAGCACTGAGCAAACCCAGTCAGGTATGAAAACCAAACAGAAGGTGCTCCATTAGAGCTCTCTCTCTGTTTAGAGGATGCTTGTGATGGCTGATGATGATCCTCTACCTGTGCAGGAGTGAAGGGCACAGAGGCCAGGGCTGTCAGCGCAGGGCTGAGCTGGGATTGGCTGAGCTTCTGCAGGAAGTCCACACCCAACCAGGGCAAGAAGGGAGCCAGCTGAGACACTCGGCCGGCGGGGAGAGAGCCAGGAGACTGAAGCTCACTCCCACTCAGGAACAAGCTGGTGATCTGTAGTGGGATGGTCACAAGCATAACACACATACATATTTACACAGGATTCAACACACACACACACACACACACAAAGTGCAAACACAAGAAATTCAACCCATAGATTAGTCTACTTCACTCATACCCATATGAGTTTCACTGTCAACTTTGCAGTAAAAAATAAAGTACAGTTGAAGTCGGAAGTTTACATACACTTTAGCCAAATACATTTAAACTCAGTTTTTCACAATTCCTGACATTTAATCCTAGTAAAAATTCCCTGTCTTAGGTCAGTTAGGATCACCACTTTATTTTAAGAATGTGAAATGTCAGAATAGTAGGTAGAGAATTATTTATTTAAGCTTTTATTTCTTTCATCACATTTTCAGTGGGTCAGAAGTTAGTATTTGGTAGCATTTGCCTTTAAATTGTTTAACTTGGGTCAAATGTTTCGGGTAGCCTTCCACAAGCTTCCCACAATAAGTTGGGAGAATTTTGGCCCATTCCTCCTGACAGAGCTGGTGTAACTGAGTCAGGTTTGTAGGCCTCCTTGCTCGTACACGCTTTTTCAGTTCTGCCCACAAATGTTCTATAGGATTGAGGTCAGGGTTTTGTGATGGCCACTCCAATACCTTGACTTTGTTGTCCTTAAGCCATTTTGCCACAACTTTGGAAGTATGCTTGGGGTCATTGTCCATTTGGAAGGACCATTTGCGACCAAGCTTTAACTTCCTGACTGATGTCTTGAGATGTTGCTTCAATATATCCACATAATTTTCCTTCCTCATGATGCCATCTATTTTGTGAAGTGCACCAGTCCCTCCTGCAGCAAAGCACCCCCACAGCATGATACTGCCACCCCCGTGCTTCACGGTTGGGATGGTTTTCTTCGGCTTGCAAGCCCCCCTTTTCCCTCCAAACATAACGATGGTCATTATGGCCAAACAGTTATATTTTTGTTTCATCAGACCAGAGGACATTTCTCCAAAAAAGTACGATCTTTGTCCCCATGTGCAGTTGCAAACCGTAGTCTGGCTTTCTTATGGCGGTTTTGGAGCAGTGGCTTCTTCCTTGCTGAGCGGCCTTTCAGGTTATGTCGATATAAGACTCGTTTTACTGTGGATATAGATACTTTTGTACCTGTTTCCTCCAGCATCTTCACAAGGTCCTTTGCTGTTGTTCTGGGATTGATTTGCACTTTTCGCACCAAAGTACGTTCATCTCTAGGACACAAAACGCATCTCCTTCCTGAGCGGTATGACGGCTGCGTGGTCCCATGGTGTTTATACTTGTGTACTATTGTTTGTACAGATGAACGTGGTACCTTCAGGCGTTTGGAAATTGCTCCCAAGGATGAACCAGACTTGTGGAGGTCTTGGCTGATTTCTTTTGATTTTCCAATGATGTCAAGCAAAGAGGCACTGAGTTTGAAGGTAGGCCTTGAAATACATCCACAGGTACACCTCCAGTTGACTCAAATGATGTCAATTAGCCTATCAGAAGCTTCTAAAGCCATTACATCATTTTCTGGAATTTTCCAAGCTGTTTAAAGGCACAGTCAACTTAGGGTATGTAAACCTCTGACCCACTGAAATTGTGTTACAGTGAATTATAAGTGAAATAATCTGTCTGTAAACAATTGTTGGAAAAATTACTTGTGTCATGCACAAATTAGATGTCCTAACCGACTGGCCAAAACTATAGTTTGTTAACAAGAAATGTGTGGAGTGGTTGAAAAACGAGTTTTAATGACTCCAACCTAAGTGTATGTAAACTTCGACTTCAACTGTAGATCTATGGTAAGGAATAACAGTGTCAGTCTGTGTGTCTGTGACAGCTCCACTTACCAAGTCACTGGGACTCCGGAGGCCCTGGACAACACATGTCCTAATGTTGTCCTGAATCACAGAGAAGGCCTCTGTGTTTCTGTACACCTGCAGGTCCTTTGGGTCTGACAGACACATCAGGTTGCCAAGCCTAGGGAGACAAAGAGGATCATTATTCAAGCATATCCAAAGATACATTTGGATCCCAAACAGTTGGTTACTTCAGTGTCTACCAGAATATTGAGTTTCATAGGACTAGGGAAAGTATTTTCTTGAAAACGCATACACTCAAATCAGATGAATGTTTGAAACTGAATGTTTCTGCAAGACAGAATACATGACCAACCATTGATCAAATACCATCGATTGTGACACTGACCTCCTGAATTGTTCTGCTGTTAGATTTCTAAAGGTCCCTATGAGGCTCTCAGCCACAAACTGCTGCTGTAGGGGGCTTAGGGTGTTCATCAGCAACACATCCATTCCATTCAACAGCTAGGGGAGACAAAACACCACCCAACTCTGGTTTAAAATTACAGTGCACAATGATGAAAATGTCGTGTATACCGTTTTAAATTAAGACAATGAAAATGTATAGGCCTAAACGCATACTATTTTGTCCTGTATACACAACCTCATCCCCTTACACATAGTCAGGTCAACAATTATTGCCACCCTTGATGAGCAAAGAATACTTTATAAAATAAATAATACAAATACAGCGCTTTATTGTATTCTAAAAAAATGCAACAGATTATTTTATACTAATACAATTGCTCAGAGAAATAGATTTTGTTTAACAAGTAATATTATTATTTTCTCAAAAAGAGAAATTATCAGGAACTAACACTGATCACATTTTTTCACACTTTTACAGTGTAAGTTTAATCAGCTGTTGTACAATATGATACGAAACACAATAATTTTGACTGCACTGGGCCTTTAAGGTCAACGACTTAATAAACTTAACCCAGTACCAGGACCAGTGGCGTACCGCAGTTTCGCGGGGCTCCCCGCAAGGTCTGAGCATTTGTTGGGGGGGGAAACAGCTAACTTCCAACAATTCAACACATTTTTTGGCAGTTTAATAGCTAATCTCATGCTATTTAGCATTTTTAAAGCTAATTTCCTCCAATTCTTGCGGGAGCTGCAGGGGCCTGTGGTATGCCAGTGACCAGGACATCAAAACCAAAAACCTGGTTACCTCTGCCAGGAGGTTGAAACTTGGCCGCAAGTGGATCTTTGAGCGAGACAATAACCCCAAGCACACATAAAAATACACAAAGCAATGGTTAATTGACCACAAAACATTTTGCAATGGCCATCTCAGTCTCTGGATGAACCCCATTGAAAACCTGTGGTTTGAATTGAAGAGGGCAATCCATAAGCGCAGACGAAGGATATCAAGGATCTGGAAAGATTCTGTATGGAGAAATGGTCTAAGATCCCTCCCAATGTGTTCTCCAATCTCATACAACATTTTAGAAAAAAGGCTCAATGCCATTATCCAAACGAGGCATTGAAAGGTACTGAAAACAGGGGTGCCAATAATTTTGACCCATCATTTTGAGAAAAAAATATATGACTTGTTAAACAAAATCTCTTTCTTTGAGCAATTGTATTAGTATAAAATATTATTTTTTTCCATACAATATAACTCAGTATTTGTATTATTTAATTTATACAGTATTTTTTGCTCATCTTTATCAAGGGCACCAATAACTTTGGACCTGACTTTACATGCAACGATCATATTCACATTTTAAGCATTGAAAGATCACTCATTGTTCTTCACATAGCCATTCTTAATTCATGCATAGACGATTTTTACTTTTTGAACATTGGCTACGGCCACAACCATTGACACAATGGAGACCACTGACAACTCTCTGGCTGTGGCTGGGGAGATTCTGGTTTCACAGAGAGGTGTCGTGTCTGTTACCTGAGCAGGTGATAGGTGCTGGAAGCTGTGAAAGGGCAGGTAGACGATCAGGTTACCAGTGTCCCTGATGAAGGAGGGGCCGCCGGCTGTCATGTTGAGGGAGCTGAGGGCTCGGCTGTACCACCTCCCAAAGGCCCTGCGCTGCTCTGCTGACAGGCTCCTGATGATGCTGTTGATGGTATCTCTCCTGAAAATAGAGAGAGCATAAAGGAATGTAGGACATACTTGTTGTTTACCTGAACAAAAAGCAGAGAGCAAAACATTACTGGGAAAGCACATCTCTTTCGGAGACACAAATGACCCAATTTAAATTAACGGCAAAGCAGTAATTTAAATAGAAAATGACTCCAATATTGTGAGTCTGTTTGTGTCTGAATAGAGGGGGTAATTAACGGCATAAGTCCATGACCTTTGATTCTAAAAGAATAAGAATTCTATAGCCATTCAGTACTATACATAATAATACACTAAACTATAATGTGGAGACCATCACACAAGGACATCATGACTCATGATGACTTGTATCAGAAGCCTGCTTAACTTACACATTGAGGTTGGTCTGTAAGGGTGGCAGTGACTGGATGTCTGCAGGGTTGACCAGGGCAAGTAGGGGTAACAGTTCGGGAAAGAGGCTGCAGTCCCTGACCAAGTGGGTCTGGAAAAGCACAGATACCATGGTGCCTAGGTAGTCATCTGTAAGCTGGGACAGAGAGAGATTAAGTGATTATCCTGTGTGAACATAGAGCTGAAGAGGTTGCACTACATTTTATTTAATTATTTAGTCAAATGTATTCAATCAGGTTGTCCCATTGAGGTCAAGAGACCTCAGTCTTTTCCATGGGAGATCTGTCTAAGAGGACAACTGATATGAAGTGTGTTGAATTACCTGCAGTGTTCCCTGGTTCCTGCTGAAGTACTGCAGTATCTGTCTGACTGTGGTGATGTCCACTGCACTCAGCACTGCCCTCAGACTGGCCAGAGGGATACGGAAATACTCCTGTAACAGAATAACACCACATACTAAAACCAAGCACCCATAAGCTAGACAAGAATATCATAACAAAAACTACTACCAGGGACTTTTGAGTCAAGTGGAAATACTGTTGAATGCATTATTCATTGCTTTTAATGTTATGCATTGTTTTTGCTGTTAGACATATGACAAAAAGAGAGACAAAATCTTTTTTATGCTAAAAAATATACTTATATATTCACCAAGTAACAATAAATGATAAATGAACTTAACATCTCTACAATACAAACACTCATACCTAGCCATCACCTTGCCTTGAGACGTCTCAAGACATGTCTTAAGAATTACACTCCCCAACGTATTTATTTGGACAGCGATGGTAACATTTTTTACTTTGGCTCTATACTCCAGCATTTTGGATTTTACATCAAGTATTTTATGAGGCGACAGTACAGAATGTCACCTTTTATTTGAGGGCATTTTCATAAATATCTGTTTTACTGTTTAGAAATGAAAGGACTATGTATCTAGTCCGCCATTTCGAAGGAGTCATAAGTATTTGGACAAATTCACTTATGGCCTAAGGGCCTGGGGCTGGGTTTCTACAAAGCTTTTTTATTTTAGGACCCCTGTAGGTATCCCCCCCCCCAAAGAAAAATATATATATTTGATGAAACATTGAATTTGGCCTTACTGCTATTAGCCCATAGAAACACATCGAATAACATATTTATACACGGCAAAACAGTCAAAAAATGTATCAAAAGGAAGTATTATTATTTGTTTTTAAACTGGTACCGGGTTACCTTCAGACAAGTGTTGTGAGGCTTGTGGGCGCCGTAGAGTAAACCGTGTTCGTGAGAGTCTCACCTTTCAATGTTGGGGTCATTAAATTTAGACAAAAGTTTAGTATTTGGTCCCATATTTTTAGCACGCAATGACTACATCAAGCTTTTGACTCTACACACTTGCTGGATGCATTTGCATTTTGTTTTGGTTGTGTTTCGGATTTTGTTGTGCCCAATATAAATGAATGGTAAATAATCTACTGTGTCATTTTGGAGTCCGTTTTATTGTCAATAAGAATATAATATGTTTCTGAACACTTCTGCATTAATGTGGATGCTAACATGATGCTAGTCATTGCGTGCTAGAAATATGGGACCAAACACTAAACTTTTGTCTTCAAATGGGGGGACTAGATACAGTTGAAGTCTGAAGTTCCCACAATAAGTTGGGTGAATTTTGGCCCATTCCTCCTGACATAGCTGGTGTAACCGAGTCAGGTTTGTAGGCCTCCTTGCTCGCACACGCTTTTTCAGTTCTGCCCACACATTTTCTATAGGATTGAGGTCAGGGCTTTGTGATGGCCACTCCAATACCTTGACTTTGTTGTCCTTAAGCCATTTTGCCACAACTTTGGAAGTATACTTGGGGTCATTGTCCATTTGGAAAACCCATTTGCGACCAAGCTCTAACTTCCTGACTGATGTCTTGAGATATTGCTTCAATATATCCACATAATTTTCCTTCCTCATGATGCCATCTATTTTGTGAAGTGCACCAGTCCCTCCTGCAGCAAAGCACCACCACAGCATGATGCTGCCAACCCCGTGGCTTCACGGTTGGGATGGTGTTCTTCGGCTTGCAAGCAGCCCCCTTTTTCCTCCAAACATAACGATGGTCATTATGGCCAAACAGTCCTATTTTTGTTTCATCAGACCAGATCACATTTCTCAGAAAAGTACAATCTTTGTCCCCACGTGCAGTTGCAAACCGTAGTCTGGCTTTTTTATGGCGGTTTTGGAGCAGTGGCTTCTTCCTTGCTGAGCGGCCTTTCAGGTTATGTCGATATAGGACTTGTTTTACTGTGGATATAGATACATTTGTACTTGTTTCCTCCAGCATCTTCACAAGGTCCTTTGCTGTTGTTCTGGGAATGATTCGCACTTTTCGCACCAAAGTACGTTCATCTCTAGGAGACAGAACGCGTCTCCTTCCTGAGCGGTATGACGGCTACGTGGTCCCACTGCGTTTGGAAATTGCTCCCAAGGATGAACCAGACTTGTGGAGGTCTACAAAAAAAATTCTGAGGTCTTGGCTGATTTCTTTTGATTTTCCCATAATGTCAAGCAAAGAGACACTGAGTTTGAAGGTAGGCCTTGAAATACATCCACATGTACATCTCCAATTGACTCAAATGATGTCAATTAGTAAAACTAAATGCATGCTCTTCAACCGAACGCTGCTTGCACCCGCCCACCCGACTAGAATCACTACTCTCGACGGGTCTGACCTAGAGTATGTGGACAACTACAAATATCTAGGTGTCTGGTTAGACTGTAAACTCTCCTTCCAGACTCACATTAAGAATCTCCAATCCAAAGTTAAATCTAGAATCGGTTTCCTATTTCGCAACAAAGCCTCCTTCACTCATGCTGCCAAACATGCCCTCGTAAAACTGACTATCCTACCGATCCTTGACTTCGGCAATGTCATTTACAAAATAGCCTCCAACACTCTACTCAGCAAATTGGATGTAGTCTATCACAGTGCCATCCGTTTTGTCTCCAAAGCCCCATATACTACCCACCACTGTGACCTGTACGCTCTTGTTGGCTGGTCCTCACTACATATTTGTCGCCAAACCCACTGGCTCCAGGCCATCTATAAATCACTGCTAGGCAAATCCCCGCCTTATCTTAGCTCATTGGTCACCATAGCAACACCCACCCATAGTATGCGCTCCAGCAGGTATATCTCACTGGTCATCCCCAAAGCCAACACCTCCTTTGGCCGCCATTCCTTCCAGTTCTCTGCTGCCAATGACTGGAACAAATTGCAAAAATCTCTGAAGCTGGAGACACTTATCTCCCTCACTAACTTTAAGCATCAGTTGTCAGAGCACCTTACCGATCACTGCACCTGTACACAGCCCATCTGAAATTAGCCCGCCCAACTACCTCATCCCTATATTGTTATTTATTTTGCTCATTTGTACCCCAGTATCTCTATTTGCACATCATCTCTTGCACATCTATCATTCCAGTGTTAATACTAATTGTAATTATTTTGCACTATAGCCTATTTATTGCCTTACCTCCATAACTTGCTACATAATGCACACACTGTATATATATTTATTTCTGTTGTATTTTTGACTTTGTTTTGTTTTACCCCATATGTAACTCTGTGTTGTTGTTTTTATCGCACTGCTTTGCTTTATCTTGGCCAGGTCGCAGTTGTAAATGAGAACTTGTTCTCAACTGGCTTACCTGGTTAAATAAAGGTGAAATAAAATAAAATAAAATTAAAATTAAAAATTTGCTTATCAGAAGCTTCTAAAGCCATGACATCATTTTCTGGAATTTTCCAAGCTGTTTAAAGGCACAGTCAACTAAGTGTATGTAAACTTCTGACCCACTGGAATTGTGATACAGTGAATTATAAGTGAAATAATCTGTCTGCAAACAATTGTAGGAAAAATTACTTGTGTCATGTACAAAGTAGATGTCCTAACCGACTTGCCAAAACATAGTTTGTTAACAATAAATGTGTGGAGTGGTTAAAAAACAAGTTTTAATGACTCCAACCTAAGTGTATGTCAACTTCTGACTTCAATTGTACATAAAGTGCTTGTATTTCTAAATGGTAAAACAGATACAGTGGGGGAAAAAAGTATTTAGTCAGCCACCAATTGTGCAAGTTCTCCCACTTAAAAAGATGAGAGAGGCCTGTAATTTTCATCATAGGTACACGTCAACTATGAAAAAATCCAGAAAATCACATTGTAGGATTTTTAATGAATTTATTTGCAAATTATGGTGGAAAATAAGTATTTGGTCAATAACAAAAGTTTCTCAATACTTTGTTATATACACTTTGTTGGCAATGACACAGGTCAAACGTTTTCTGTAAGTCTTCACAAGGTTTTCACACACTGTTGCTGGTATTTTGGCCCATTCCTCCATGCAGATCTCATCTAGAGCAGTGATGTTTTGGGGCTGTCGATGGGCAACACGGACTTTCAACTCCCTCCAAAGATTTTCTATGGGGTTGAGATCTGGAGACTGGCTAGGCCACTCCAGGACCTTGAAATGCTTCTTACGAAGCCACTCCTTCGTTGCCCGGGCGGTGTGTTTGGGATCATTGTCATGCTGAAAGACCCAGCCATGTTTCATCTTCAATGCCCTTGCTGATGGAAGGAGGTTTTCACTCAAAATCTCACAATACATGGCCCCATTCATTCTTTCCTTTACACGGATCAGTCGTCCTGGTCCCTTTGCAGAAAAACAGCCCCAAAGCATGATGTTTCCACCCCCATGCTTCACAGTAGGTATGGTGTTCTTTGGATGCAACTCAGCATTCTTTGTCCTCCAAACACGACGAGTTGAGTTTTTACCAAAAAGTTCTATTTTGGTTTCATCTGACCATTTGACATTCTCCCAATCCTCTTCTGGATCATCCAAATGCACTCTAGCAAACTTCAGACGGGCCTGGACATGTACTGGCTTAAGCAGGGGGACACGTCTGGCACTGCAGGATTTGAGTCCCTGGTGGCATAGTGTGTTACTGATGGTAGGCTTTGTTACTTTGGTCCCATCTCTCTGCAGGTCATTCACTAGGTCCCCCCGTGTGGTTCTGGGATTTTTGCTCACCGTTCTTGTGATCATTTTGACCCCACGGGGTGAGATCTTGCGTGGAGCCCCAGATCGAGGGAGATTATCAGTGGTCTTGTATGTCTTCCATTTCCTAATAATTGCTCCCACAGTTGATTTCTTCAAACCAAGCTGCTTACCTATTGCAGATTCAGTCTTCCCAGCCTGGTGCAGGTCTACAATTTTGTTTCTGGTGTCCTTTGACAGCTCTTTGGTCTTGGCCATAGTGGAGTTTGGAGTGTGACTGTTTGAGGTTGTGGACAGGTGTCTTTTATACTGATAACAAGTTCAAACAGGTGCCATTAATACAGGTAACGAGTGGAGGACAGATGAGCCTCTTAAATAAGAAGTTACAGTTCTGTGAGAGCCAGAAATCTTGCTTGTTTCTAGGTGACCAAATACTTATTTTCCACCATAATTTGCAAATTAATTCATTAAAAATCCTACAATGTGATTTTCAGTTAAAAAATTTCTCATTTTGTCTGTCATAGTTGACGTGTACCTATGATGAAAATTACAGGCTTCTCTCATCTTTTTAAGTGGGAGAACTTGCACAATTGGTGGCTGACCAAATACTTTTTTTCCCCACTGTATGTAAGAACATACCCTCAAATAAAAGGGGACATTCTGTACTGTCGCCTCATAAAACATTTGATCTCAAATCCAAAATGCTGGAGTATAGAGCCAAATTAAATGTTTTAGCTTCACTGTCCAAATGCATACGTAGGGGAGTGCATTTGTTAGTAACTATATCACCAGTCACAAATGTAAAATGACCTAATAAGAATCAGTCCTACTTGTGTCACCTTGATGAGGAAAAATCCATCACTAGTCTGATCTCTTCCTGTCTGCATCAAACTGGTCAGCACTTTCTGTTACGGATAACAAACAAATCTTCAAGCTTATAATTTGAATGGTCAAAGAAAAAGAAAAATCAAGATAGACAACAGCAACAACACAGTATCAACAACAAACATAAGTGATTAGAGATTAGTGTTGGTTTGTCATTCAATCACATCAACGTCAGTCAGTTAATCTCATCCAGGGGAAGAGATTTTATGTCCACTATCAATGACAGGTGTGAAACTGTGTACACCATCTGTTGACACAACAATAGCCCTCATGGTAATTGATATAGATGATTAATTACTTCAACAAAAAACCTGATTCTAAGAAGTTAGTCATATGACATTTCCACTAGACAAGAATGGGTCCGATCTAAATTTCCCTAGACATGAATCAGTTGAAAAGCCAAAACAGCAGAACACAGGCCTTGTGACCTGAGGGAAATGTATAAATGACCACCATTCATTCAGGACTGTTCAATGTAACAGTTTACAATACACACAATGTTGGAATTATTTATCTGCAGATAAAGTCTGCAAAGCCCACCTACCCCAAAGCACTGCAGCAGGACCCTCTTGTTGTCAAAGTTGGTCTCCCTTTCTAGATAGAGCCCCACAGACTCCAGCACACTGAAGCGGATGTTATCAGTCACACGTAGAGAAGTAATCTGGCTCTCCTCCATGGCCACCAGCAGCACCACGGTCACACTGGTGGCCTGGTCCACCACAGAGGCCATATGTGTGGTCAGGAGCCCCTCCAAGCGAGGCTGCAGGACCTCCACCCCGCAGCGCAGCAGCAGCTGCAAAGCCTGCGACTGACTGGAGCCTGGCTGACAGGCTGGGCTGAAGTCTGCAGTACAAGTCCAGTTCAGCCTCCTCACAATGTCTCTGACCAGGCAGGGCTGGGAGTCTGTGGAAGTGCTGTTGGTTTTGCCCTGGCTGTTTACTTTGGTGTAGTTGGTGAAGGTGGCGCAGAGAGTTCCCACCCACAGGCTGGAGGGCTCCTTGGTGAACAGTGAGAGGAGGCCAGTGTTGGTGCAGATGGATGAGACAAAGTTGGCCTGGTCGTAGTCCCAGCACAGGGCCAGGAGAGCAGCGTCAGGAAGTGTCACTGCCCAGCTGGGGTACTGGCATTGTTCTACTGGCTTAAACCCCATCAGGCCTCCTTCCTGTCCCCCTCCACCCCCAGTGCCAGTGTGGTTAGCACAATACGCCAACAGCCATGTATTGTCCAGGTTGGCTAGCAGGTTCTGGAGTACCGTGGTGTTGGCGCACACCTTCTGAGTGAAGTTCAGAGAGTCCAGCTCAGCACAGAGAGCCAGGTCAGTCATGTCTACAACGATGGGCTTGTTCCAGTCGGAGTATTGGCACACCTGGGGCAGGATGTCCTTGGTCTCCTTGTCGACACATACAGACACGAGCCACTCGTTTCGGGGCTCTAAGGTGAGCTTCTCAAACAGGGGCATGTTGCAGCACACGTTCTTATTAAAACCCATCTGGTCGTGTTGCCAGCAGAGCTCCACCATTGACGGGTCCACCAGCACCTTGCTCCACTTATCATAGTTGCACCAGTCTGGGATGCTGAACACCACAGGCGGGTTGGTGGGTGGGGAGTTAAGGGAGATAGTGCAGTATTCTCCAACCCATACAGTAGCACTATTACGGAGCAGTTTATTCAGAAAGGTGGTATTGGCGCATACCTCCTGTACAAAACCCTGGTCATCATTCTGGATGCACATGGATATCATCTCTATGGTGATTTCCATCACGTTGTGCCATTCTGAGTACCGGCAGGAAGCCGCCACCAGAGAGTTTATATCTGGCTGTGTCGGGGCCTCTGTACAGTTTGGCTGCAGCCAGTTGTTGTCAACATGGGAAAACACAACCTTGAAGAAGTCCAGGTTCTGACAGAGGAGGGTCTTCAGCCTCTCCTTGTCCTGGTCCCAGCAGACTGCCACCATGGTTGGGTCCACTGTTTCTGCCGTCCAGGTCTCATACCTACAGAACTGACTCACCATGTATCCATCAGAGGAGTTAACACAGAAATTCCACAGCCAGCTATTGTTAGGATTGTTGTTCATCAATGCCTGCATTAGCTGGATATTGCTGCACACCGCTAGGATGAATCTTGCCTGTCATTTTCACTACACAGAGTCACCAAGCCTGCGTCCACATAACTAGCATCGGTCCAGTCGCCGTAGTTGCACAGCAGATGGTTGAGGCTGAGGGATCTAGAGACCCGTGGGCCTGGGAGTGGCGGGTCCGGGATGTCCCCACTGCAGTCAGACCTGTCTTCCAGGAGGGGCAACAGTAGAGCCTGGATAACATGACAGGTGTTACTCCACACCTGTTCCACCTCAGTGGGGTTGAGGATGCTCAGAGCGCTGCAGAAAGTGTATAGAGTTGAAGAGCTCTGTTGGCCCACTGTGATGATGTCAGCGCACAGGGTGTCGTTGAGACGGGCTAGGTTGTCGTGGTCACACCTAAGCAGGGCAGTGGGGTTGTCCTCTATCGCGTCGAGGGTACGGCTGAAGGAGACTGTGGGGGGGCTCTGGCAGTCTGGGCCTGGGTAGCTGCACAGCGTTGATTCTGGAGCCAGCAACATGTCCAGGATGGAGTCACCAAAGGACCAGCTCACATTGTGACGTATACCCCTGAATAAAACATAGTCAGATAGAAAGGATATTGGGAGATCTTATTCCTCTGTCAGCGGATAAAATATTAAATTGAATCCACCATAACATTCCCATGACTTTATCTCAAGGTATCACATGAAAGGTTTCAGAGAGGAAAGGTTCCACACATCACTGTCAGCTTACCACATAAGGAGCTGTTTTAGATCCCCTATATAAAAAAGGCAGAGCATTAAATACGTATGACATAAAATAACACAAATGTACAATAAAAACGGTGCCTAAAAACGGTATACATCACAATCATAACTTAACAAAATGACAGTGCAAATTGAAGACAAATTAGGCAATAGAAAACTGACAAACCTTGCTGACATTGTTCATTTTGGTCCAGAGTGGGAATTGCAATTCCAAATTGCAATGCTATTTTTACATAATCCATAGGGGTTTGGAGAAATGTCATTATGAATTCTGAACCATATGTCACTATTGTAGGAAATGTAATGTCTATTAGACCAGTCCAAGCAGACATAAAGTTATCAGATAAGGGAAGATGTGACAAAGCAGTCATTATCTCCTGAAAAGCACTGAATTGTTCTGCTGTGTAATCTTCTACTCTGAGGTAGGATCTTTGAAAAAGTGATGGTCCTGAACTTGTACTGCTTCTTGTGCATGTCTGAGATTTGACAGATGATAGAAGTGACAGCAGTGGTTTGCCAAGCTCAAGTGATACAGTCTTTGTCAATTCTGCCTCCAAGCCACAGTCAGTTCTCCCGGACAAAATACACACAAACGTTTTGGGGAGGTTGTCAATGAATCCATCGTCTATTAGTGGTCTATACATGGCAAATACGCTGCCCAGGACACCATAATAAGCGCTCAAGTCAATGCCCTCTAACATTGTGCCAGAAAAAACACCTGTCCTGACATTTGGGTCCTCTAAAAGTTCGTCTGGGCTGATACCATTCCTGGCATTGGCACCAACGTCGTGATTTTCGTTGGATAAATCGTGTATTCCCTCTATCAATTCTTCTATGTTTCTGTCAAACTCGCTGGCGTCCGCGGGACCTTTCCTCGATACAGTGCGTGGCAATGAGCGCACTCGTCTTGCGGCATCGCAAACCATCCCTATAATAAAATGCAATAAACCAACTAGTAGCCTACATTTAAGCTGAATAATAAAAACATTAACACTAATAAACAAATACATAGCATGCTTCAAACATATGTACATTCGCTTTTTAATTTTTATCCTATCAAAGTTGGCTGAATGCAAGTAGCCTACTTACCAAGGATGCTTAGAGCGAAAAATATATGCATTCTTAGCAGCATTCTCAAAGTATAGGGGAAGATTAGCTTGAAAATAGTCTACAAAAATGCTAACTATCCAGTGGATTCAGAAAAATCTAAACTTTTAGGCCTATTATCCAGGCTCACTGCAAAGGCAATAGTTATTGTCAATCATCCTTAGTTGTTTTCTTTTACATTCCTGTAACCAAAACACCCGTCTTTGTCAAAGCAATTTAGTCGTCTCTCCTGTATCCGTTCTTGCTTCCCTACTTCCTTATACGCTTTGTAAAGTAGTGGTCCACTTACGTAACGCACCAAGCGAATAGGACATCTCTACCTGCCCCTTCGCTTCCATCACGGCTCCCGTGTCTACCTGCAACTCTATCCATGCGCTAAAAGTAGCTTAATTAGAAACAGTGGCAAAAAAAATCGCTGCGAACGAAGGGCTGTGAAATGCACAGAACGGATTTAGCAAACAAACTGCTGCCGGTTCTGAAATATTAATACGTCTTGTTCATTAATTTAGAGATTAAATTGGTATTCCAATTCCACATTTTATGGATTAAACCCTCAGTGCATTGTCTGTAACGCGAGCCTCTTCTCTAGAGGTAAAACGCGCCGGAGACACAGGACAGGATGGTGGTTGCCCAAATCAATTAGTGTGGTTGAACAAAAATTATATTGAATTGGGGCTATACAACTGCACATTTAAAAATGACTTTTTCCATGGATCATCATGCCAAGAAACTGTCCCCGCTTAGGATAGACAAAGATTTAATAAACGTCTACACATATCAGAACGTATGAAATAGGCCTATATAAACCATATCAAAAAATACAATGTTTAAGTAGGCTATTCTGTCTGGTGTTTGTTACAGGCTAAAACAGGATAAGGGACTATATGTTCAAGAGTGGCTCAGTTTCTCAGTGTTATAACTGGAAACCAGTAGGCAGGCCTGCCCCCCAAAAAATATCTTCCTTTCTCCTTCATCAGTAAAATGAATTTGGAGAATCTAGACCCCTCAAACTCAACTGTGCACATCAAAGCCAGTTCCACTGCATTTTTTCCATTGTTACCCCCTAATTAGGGACTGATTTAGACCAGGGACACCAGGTAGGTGAAATTAATTATCAGGTAGAACAAAAACCAGACTCCAGACCTCATAGGGTAAGAGTTGAATACCCACGATCTAGAGCAGGGTTTCCCGAACTTGGTCCTGGGGCCCCCCTGGGTGCACGTTTTGTTTTTTGCCCTAGCACTACACAGCTGATTCAAAGAACCAACTCATCAAAATAAACTACCAAGAGTTAAAATACAATGTTCAATAGGAAAGAAAAACAGCATGCTGGATGGTTTAACTTTAAAACTTTGTTCAATACTTCAATGCAATTGGTATGTACATTTTACAACATGGCTAACAAAGATGTCATTTTAAGCATTTAAAATACATTTTAAATACATCTCAATGGAAATTGAAAAAGTTAATTAACACAGTTGCTCTTTTCTGCAGAAAAAGTGCCAAGATTAAAATTTAATTCAGGACTTTCCCACAAAACAAGATTCTCTACATACATGCTAGGTTTCTAACAGTTCAGTGACACTGTCCTAACTAAACATACACATATATTTGTAAGAAAAACACTCCATCTGATGTAAAGTTAAATCTTCATGAATACATTTAAAAAGTAGATGACATGCCTTTTGAAATAAAAAATACAAAAAGATTTTCCTTTAAGGATTTTCTTTTAACGCAAAGCTGCATGTATTGTACAATATCCATCGTACAATAAAACTGGTATAATACACATAAAAATGAACTGGATGTACATGTCAAATAGCCCATCCTTCAAAAACAAAATCACTACTGCTCTTAAACAATTAAAGTAAGCTCTCCCTTGATAGAAAAGTGCCAGGCCCCATTTAAGGAGCGGGTTCATCCTCCTAGGGGCCAACTCTCAACCAACCGCTGAAGTGGGTATGGATAGGGTTGCATATTTGAAAATGTTATAGAATAGGGTGTTCATTACTTATATATATATTTTTTTTATAATGGTGAAAAAATTAACTCATTGTGCACCCTTCAAAGCAGAGAAAATCTAAGCAATTGATAGATCCTTTGGATCATGGACTTTTGATTTGTTAATTTATTTTCCCCATTTTGGGATAAAGTGTGGGAAAATAATTACATTCAGTCTGGAAATATTTAGCATTGCCACAACAAAAAAAAAACTGTGCCCTGTAATAGTGTAACTCATCTATGCCAGTTCAGTTTTATAGGGCGATGATTTCCAGAAAGGCAATGAGAGAGCAGGCTAAAAGGACTGGTACTCTACAGAGTTTTACCCTTAGTCCCTCAGATGTTTGGCAAGATGACATGCACGATTAGCTGGAATAGGGAACAGTTGGATTCACCTAACAACTTTGTTCGCAGGGCACAATTCAACTTAGAACAAAAAACACAGCGCAACTAACAAACTGACCAGAATTTCCTTTCCGATTTGAGTGTTTTGAGCTTAGAGGCTTGATTGTCTCAGACTTATAAACACTTCCAACGAGGAAAAAGAGATTACATGGGTGGCGATGTTAGATCAGGTTAGGAAGGAGGTTTGTATGGCACCATATACATGACCATGTAAATGTACAAGTCCATAATATCAACAAAAGGGCTGACTGGACATGGAAGGGTAACCATTTTTGGGGTGTAATTCTTTTATGGTTTTTGTCATCAATAAAGTGTCTATGAGCTGGGATCTGGTTAGGCCACATGAAATGACACAAGTATTAGGTACAATATCTGACAATGCATCATGGGATATTTTCTACAACTCTTCCAAGTCTGGGCAGAGACAGACATTCATAACGAAGGTTCTCCAATAACGATGCCTCTTTCAACTGCATTTAAAAGAAAGGCTTTAAATCCATATAATAAAACCAATTCCTAAAACAAAAAACTACTAGAGGCAGGTTGGGTTTAAACCACAGTGATGAGGCTTGCAGTTTATATGCTGGTGGTGCTACACATTGGGCTGTTTCAGGACCCAGCCATCCATCCATATGCCTCCAGTAACAGACAGGGGTGAGACGCTGACAGAGACAATCTACATTAGTTATAATTCAATACTAGACATATCCATTTAAAAAAAAAAAGTTTTAAAAACTTGGTTGCGTTAAAATAATACATTTAAATATATGAATGACAAATACATTTTACAATAAAATAAATGTCTGTAACACTTAACTTGTGAAGTGGGGGACATTTAGTCACAAATGATGAACTGTCCCCTTGATGCAAATTTCTTTGAAAGTTATACTAATTGATTGATTGGCAAAGTGTCCTATTCATTCAAACACAAAGCCAACACTATTGTTTAAACAGAAGTACTTCCACCACAAACAAATTTTATACAGGAAGTTCTGGATTCGTTCAATTTGATTTGACATAGCATGGGGATATCCTAACATAACATCAATATTAATTTCCAATCAACAAGCTTGGACAACACCTACATATCCCCATTATAAAACATTATAGGCAGAAAAAAGCAAACAATGAAACATTGTGAAATGGGGTAAAAGAAGAAATTGCAGTTTCAATGAGTGTCTACAAAAAAAAGCAATTCAGCTAGAGGAATGCATAATGAGATTCCTATAGGCTACAGGTAAAACACTTGTAAAAACCCCAAGATGGAAAGAAAAACAATAGCTATGTACCCACACACAAAACATACACACATTACTGGCCATTCCTGTTAAAATTGGTCTGTAGCCAATGAGTGTCACTGTCAACAGTCCTATGAAAGCACCAAAGGGAGCAAGTATAATCCTCTTCTCTGTCATCTAACACATTTAGTCCAACCAGACAGACAGCACCTTGGCCCCTCCGATAAGAAGCAGGGAGAAAGAAAAGCCAGTCAAAAAGGAGGAGCCTTCTTGGTCTTGCCCACAGTAATGTGATCTATACACGTGGCTTTAGAAATTATTTTTAACCAGATGTTGCTTCAAAAAAATTGAGACTTGTCATTATCGATGCAAAAAACAATGTGGGGTAAAAAAAAAAAGAGAGAAAAAGTGTAACCTTCAACAGTAATGGCAATGTTGTAATCCAAAGAGGGCTTTATACACATCTGTTTGTTGGTTTATTCAATAATTGGTTATTTCTTCTGTCCCATTGTGTCCGTCCATTCCAGGGATCAGTCTGGGGGAAGAAGCTCGTGCAGGCGAAACCGTTCTCGAACGTGTGGTCTCACATCCTCATTCTGGAACACAGGAGACAGACATAGAACATATTAATACCACATGGATATGAACCTAAACCAATGATTTAAAGAGATGATTTCTCTCGGTTAGTGGTGCGACCATTTCATTTAGTAAAAGACAGGTAGTTGGCTACAAAAAATGAATGAATGTTGGGGGCATTGCAAAGCACGTCAATGACAGCTCAAGCATGTATGGCTTAGAAATAAAACAGAATATTACTATCCAATCATGAGTAAAACATGTACAGTGAGGGAAAAAAGTATTTGATCCACTGCTGATTTTGTACGTTTGCCCACTGACAAAGACATGATCAGTCTATCATTTTAATGGTAGGTTTATTTGAACAGTGAGAAACAGAATAACAACAAAAAATTCCAGAAAAACGCATGTCAAAAATGTTATAAATTGATTTGCATTTTAATGAGGGAAATAAGTATTTGACCCCTCTGCAAAACATGACTTAGTACTTGGTGGCAAAACCCTTGTTGGCAATCACAGAGGTCAGACGTTTCTTGTAGTTGGCCACCAGGTTTGCACACATCTCAGGAGGGATTTTGTCCCACTCCTCTTTGCAGATCTTCTCCAAGTCATTAAGGTTTCGAGGCTGATGTTTGGCAACTCAAACCTTCAGCTCCCTCCACAGATTTTCTATGGGATTAAGGTCTGGAGACTGGCTAGGCCACTCCAGGACCTTAATGTGCTTCTTCTTGAGCCACTCCTTTGTTGCCTTGGCCGTGTGTTTTGGGTCATTGTCATGCTGGAATACCCATCCACGACCCATTTTCAATGCCCTGGCTGAGGGAAGGAGATTCCCACCCAAGATTTGACGGTATATGGCCCCGTCCATCGTCCCTTTGATGCGGTGAAGTTGTCCTGTCCCCTTAGCAGAAAAACACCCCCAAAGCATAATGTTTCCACCTCCATGTTTGACGGTGGGGATGGTGTTCTTGGGGTCATAGGCAGCATTCCTCCTCCTCCAAACACGGCGAGTTGGGTTGATGCCAAATAGCTCCATTTTGGTCTCATCTGACCACAACACTTTCACCCAGTTCTCCTCTGAATCATTCAGATGTTCATTGGCAAACTTCAGACGGGCCTGTATATGTGCTTTCTTGAGCAGGGGGACCTTGCGGGCGCTGCAGGATTTCAGTCCTTCACGGCGTAGTGTGTTACCAATTGTTTTCTTGGTGACTATGGTCCCAGCTGCCTTGAGATCAATGACAAGATCCTCCCGTGTAGTTTTGGGCTGATTCCTCACCGTTCTCATGATCATTGCAACTCCACGAGGTGAGATCTTGCATGGAGTCCCAGGCAGAGGGAGATTGACAGTTATTTTGTGTTTCTTCCATTTGCGAATAAACTGTTGTCACCTTCTCACCAAGCTGCTTGGCGATGGTCTTGTAGCCCATTCCAGCCTTGTGTAGGTCCACAATCTTGTCCCTGACATCCTTGGAGAGCTCTTTGGTCTTGGCCACGGTGGAGAGTTTGGAATCTGATTGATTGATTGCTTCTGTGGACAGGTGTCTTTTATACAGGTAACAAACTTAGATTAGGAGCACTCCCTTTAAGAGTGTGCTCCTAATCTCAGCTCGTTACCTGTATAAAAAGACACCTGGGAGCCATAAATATTTGATTGAGAGGGGGTCAAATACTAATTTCCCTCATTGAAATGCAAATCAATTTATAACATTTTTGACATCTGTTTTTCTGGATTTTGTTGTTGTTATTCTGTCTCTCACTGTTCAAATAAACCTACCATTAAAATTATAGACTGATCATGTCTTTGTCAGTGGGCAAATGTACAAAATCAGCAGGGGATCAAATACTTTTTCCCCCTCACTGTAAAATGTAGCTTGAACGTACCAGCTCAACAAGCTTCTCCAAGAACGGGACCAGCCTCAGGAGTTCGTTGTCATTTTTGTCCATGAACCAGCTCTCAATGGGAATCCCATTGGAAAGCTGTAGGGATATAGGAAGGTATACTCTGTATTGGATTGTACAACAATAGCATATATAAATTCTGCGAATATCATTTAAATGTTAACAGTAGGCTTAATTACTCTGTGCTAGGTTGGGTTACAGACGTCACTTGGGGCTGAAAGGCTCACCTGATATGCAAAGGCTTGTGGTGAATTGTCAATGATGACGGTCTTGGACAGGTCTCTTCCAAGGATGTTCAGGTCCTTGATGTAGTTTCCTTGTACGCAGACACAATGCTCACGAAATAACCTGTGTCTAGGGTTAGTGGAGAGGAGGAAAATAAATAAACTGCCAAATCTACATGTCTGTTTATCAATAATTCAGTCAAACCACAATGTAAAAAAATAAGAAGATATAAATAAAAAGATAGATATAAAAAAATATATATATATATATATATATATATATATATATATATATATATATGTTGACACCTGAACATCACATAGACGCAGCACATGCCCAGCCTCAAAATCCACAAACAACATACACAGCAACTGTAATCTCATGCAAACAGAGAACACTATACATGCATGTCAAAGCTAAGGCTGGGTATTATATTACAAAAACAACATACAACATATTTGGACTTCCAATGCATCTAAATTAAGGAAGGGGTAGAAAGAAACATGAGAAAGAAACATTTAACTTACCTAACCAACTGTTTCTTGGGATCCAAGATGTTGAGCAACTTGTCTGCATAAACCTTCTTTGAGGCAGTGAAGAGAATGATCTAACGAGGAAAAGACAACTGAATACGTTTCTCACTTCAGAGTAGCTCAATGCAAGTAACAGTAATCTTTCCATAAACTGTTACAATTAAATAGGAGAAAAGGAAGGCCCAGTTTACCTCATAGATTTGAGACATGCGCTCCAGGAACTCTCTGAAGAACGGCCTTAACCGCACATACACCTGCAGACAAGCAAAGTGTCAGTTATTTGTACAAAGTTTCTACTAGAAACTTTGATTTTGCATCTCCCACGTTCACCTGTGGCTGTCTATAAAAGGCACCGCTTTAGCACCCTCTGGTGGAAAAGTCACAAATGCTTAATAATGTCCCATTTAAAATAGAAATGCCTCTGTCAAATCTCAAAGACTTCTGTATACCTGGTAAATTACATCTTGAAACAGGACCGGGAAGGTAAGTGCTGCATCGTCCAGCTCATTCAAGCTACAGTGCACCAATGTCTCATCCTGGTAGGAATCACAAAAATAGTTGTAAGTTGCAAACCACCATATCAATACCCTTTAAGTGGATGTACCATTTAAAGTAAAAGCCAATTTATGCTTGATCCAAAAATGTGGTCGGAGGCTCCATACACAGGGTGTGACGCAATTGCGGAGCCTCCGGAGGCATGCAGAGGCCAAATTGAGCTCTGTACCGCATCGCCGTGTGCCTCCCAAATGTTGTAACAATGAGGAAGGGCCCCGTCTGGCGTCGCATTGACATGATTGGTTGATGGTAGGTGGGGGCGGGTGGTCCTGTATAAACAAACTCACTTCCTTTACAACAGCTATGCTCAACAGCACTGAGCAGCTCCGGGAAGTATGAATGCCCTGACTTCTGCAGTGGCTGTAACATTGTAAAAACTGCACGGCCAATGCAGACATCGGATTGACCATGCAGCGCCTTTTAGTCTCAAGATGAGCACCATGTAATCATCACTCACCAGGTCGAGGACCAAGGAGAACTCAGGTGTACTGCGGGTCTTTAGTGGGAGAGCAGGCTTCCTGGTCAGCTGTTCCTCTGTCAGTGGAGGTACATGCTTGATGAAGAAATACCTGGACAAAACCAAATCAAACAAATCAGAGTTAAATACAGGACTTTCAATGAAAAACACTGGAACATGTTTTTCTGAACAAAAATATAAAACACAACATGTAAAGTTTTGGTCCAATCTTTCATGAGCTGAAATAAAAAGATCCCAGAAATGTTCCATATGCACAAAAAACTTAATTCTCTCATGTTGTGCACAAATTTGTTTACATCCCTGTTAGTGAGCATTTCTCCTTTACCAAGATAATCCATCCACCTGACAGGCGTGGCATATCAAGAAGCTGATTAAACAGCATGAGGACAATAAAAGGCCACTCTAAAATGTGCAGTTGTCACAACACAATGCCACAGATGTCTCAAGTTGAGGGGGCGTGCAATTGGCATGCTGACTGCAGGAATGTCCACCAGAGCTGTTGCCAGATAATCTCATGTTCATTTCTCTACCATAAACCGCCTCCTACAACGTTTTAGAGAATTTGGCAGTACATCCAACCGACCTCACAACCGCAGACCACGTGTATTGCGTTGTGTGGGTGAGCGCTTTGCTGATATCAACATAGTGAACAGAATGCCCCATGGTGGCGGTGGGGTTATGGTATGGGTAGGCACAAGCTACGGACAATGAACACAATTGCATTTTATCGATGGCAATTTGAATCCACATAGACACCGTGACGAGATCCTGATGCCCATTGTCGTGCCATTAATCCGCTGCAATCACCTCATGTTTCAGCATGATAATTCACAGCCCCATGTCGCAGGGATCTGTACACAATTCCTGGTAGCTAAAACATGTCTGTTCTTCCATGGCCTGCATACTCACCAGACATGTCACCCATTGAGCATGTTTGGGATGCTCTGGATCGACAGCATGTTCCAGTTTCCGCCAATATCCAGCAACTTCGCACAGCCATTGAAGAGGAGTAGGACAACATTCCACAGGCCACAATCAACAGCCTGATCAACTCTATTCGAAGGAGATAAATCGCGCTGCATGAGGCAAATATTGGTCACACCAGATACTGACTGGTTTTCTGATCCACGCCCCTAACTCTTTTTTTTTTTTTTTTTTAAGGTATCTGTGACCAACAGTCGCATGTCTGTATTCCCAGTCATGTGAAATCCATAGATTAGGGCCTAATGAATTTATTTCCTTATATGAACTGTAACTTTTTGAAATTGTTGCATTTTGCGTTTATATTTTGGTTCAGTATATTTTGTTCATTTTTTGAATTCACAAGATCAAAATTAATTCTAAAACATTCATATTTTGGCCTCAACTAAGGCTGGAATATTTTGCTTAGAGGGAGCAGATTTGTACTTACGGGTCACTCTATACCAAGAAGACATTTCTTTATCTCCAGCTACCTGTGAGAGGAGGCGTGTCTGTGACGACCTCTTCCTCGACGGGCACTTCTGGAGGGTGTGGGGGCCGCAGGGGTGGCAGCATGTCGCTGGGGTAAAGGGGCATAGTCGTACACACTTCCTCTGTGGAGGTGGGGGGGTCTCCTCCACCGTCTCCATGTCCAGCTGCTTGACGATCTCCTCAGCCTCCAACGCCTGGTCTGGGGAGTCCGAACCTGATGTGGCTGAAAATTACATTAGCTTACTATATTATATTTATACTACTTATTACCGTAGTTCCACGCGGAAATTAGTTTCGACCACAACATAAAAAATACAATAACATAACAAACAAGCATCATACAAGGTAGAATGAAGACCGAGGTAATATAGTAGGCCATTTACCAGTGCAGAGAGGAGCGACAAAGGGAAAGTTAGAGATAAACATGTAGGCCAATCTAACATATTTTAAGTCAAGTTCCTGCAGAGTACTTGGCACTCTTCTACCTAGCATCATTTTGGAGTATTACCATTTTTATTTGCTGGTGAGAAGAAGTTGAAGACTGGAGAGAAGATGGTTCCCAGGAGAGTGGTTCTAGGCGGACTGGTCAAAGTCTCTGCCGCCGCCTCCTCCAGTTTCCCATTGGGCTTCACAGGCTTACTACTGGTGTCATGGTTCGTGTCATGGTTTGTCGCTTCTGTGGTTTAGGGTGAGGAGCAGGTAAGGACAACATGATAAGTCGCTTTATCAAGGCATGTAAACTCCTGTTGGTGTGCAAGGTATGATTACTGAACAGGATAAGGTTTTGTTCCCGTCTTTCAATTAATCCTCCACGCTCTTTGCAAACTCACCTCCGTTGACTGAGTTTCTCCTGCTGACCCTGGAGATTGTCCTCCTGGGGGTATCGCCACCTTGTGGTGTGGAAGAGATCAGGTTGTCGTCTATGTCGCAGGTGAGTCGCGTCTTCTTCGCTGGATTCTTCTGTTCTACCTGAGGTAGAAACACAACTCACATTTCAGAACTGATGTGAGGAGCATTTAACTGTAGAATAAGCCAAAATCAAAACCGCATTCAAAATCTCTTACAGTATTCCCAACATTTAATTTTGAATCCACCCACTAGCCTCATACTCATATCTGGTTGGATATACAAAGGACTTGTAGTACGCCAAGTGACGATGTTCCAAGAGAAAGAACCCATATGCCTTCCCAGGGGGATCATCTCTCTCCTGGAATATTGTTTCAGCCAACCCTAGCTACCTAGTAGGGCTGCACGATTAATCAAATTCAGATAGAAAATTGCAATATCGCCGCGCAATATCCATTTCGCAAGAGGCTGTGATTTTCTCTCCTTTCTTTGACACTCTGTTTAACAACAAATACTAGACTACGGTACCATCTCCAATAAGAGGATGCTGACCAAACAAGCGGTCTCTCACACTCTGCATGGAATGCTAATGCTGGCTAATCATAAGCGTCCCACATAGAGCATGCAGTTAGATGCTGGTGAGGAGAGAAAGGGATTTACATCAGTGTGTGGGAAACTTGAGTGCTGCTAGTGCTAACGAGAACGGCGATTTGGTGGCAAAGGGCCCATCTTCAGTGGTATGGCAGTATTTCGGGTACAGGCAAACCGATGTTAACCAAATGCATGTGTTGTGCAAAAAGTGCCTCAGAGTTGTGGCGACAACAAGAGGCAACACAACAAATGCATTCAATCATTTGAAGAACCACCATCCCCTACTTCAATGGTGAAAAAAGTGCCCGACAGCAGCAAAGTCCCTCAGCCACAGCTAGCCACCTACTTTAAACAGGCATTGACAAGTGTAACGCCCTTCAAAAAAACATTGCGCAGACATATAAATCATAGAGGCTATCACCCATCTATCACATAGCCAAAGACATGGTTCACATTTACAGTCAGCAAAGCTTAAAGAGGATAAACAAGCTGGACAGGATGCAAGAGTCCATCTCTCAAGTCACCATCCCAACGCTGTATAACAAGTTGATTATTACGCGACTACAACATATACTAGACCAAAAGATAGGCCTAACGTAGAGATGGGAATTGCCAGGGACCTCACGATACGATATCACAAAACTTAGGTGCCGATACGATATGTATTGCGATTCTATATGTATTGTGATTTGACACTGATTTTATTGTGATTCAATGTTCCAAACATATTGCTCACCTACACTACCAGTCAAAAGTTGACACACCTACTCATTCAAGGGCTTTTCTTGATTGTAGAATAATAGTGAAGACATCAAAACTATGACATCAAAACTATGAAATAACACATATGGATTCATGTAGTAACCCAAAAAGTGTTAAACAAATCAAAATATATTTTATATTTGAGATCCTTCAAATAGCTACCCTTTGCCTTGATGACAGCTTTGCACACTTGGCTTTCTCTCAACCAGCTTCATGAGGTAGTCACCTGGAATGCATTTCAATTAACAGGTGTGCCTTCTTAAATGTTAATTTGTGGAATTTCTTTCCTTCTTAATGCGTTTGAGCCAATCAGTTGTGTTGTGACAAGGTAGGGGTGGTATACAGAAGATAGCCCTATTTGGTAAAATACCAAGTCCATTTTATGGCAAGAACAGCTCAAATAAGCAAAGAGAAACGACAGTCCATTACTTTAAGACAGGGTTGCCCAACCCTGTTCCTGGAGAGTTATCCTCCTGTAGGTTTTCGCTCCAACCCCAGGTGTTACTAACACGATTAATCTTATCAACCTGCTAATTATTAGAATCAGGTGCACTAGATTAGGGTTGGAGCAAAAAACTACAGGACGGTAGCTCTCCAGGAACAGGGTTGGGGAGTCCTGCTTTAAGACATGAAGGACAGTCAATACGGAAAATTAAGAACTTTGAAAGTTTCTTCAAGTGCAGTCGCAAAAACCATCAAGCGCTATGATGAAACTGGCTCTCATGAGGACCGCCACAGGAATGGAAGACCCAGAGTTACCTCTGCTGCAGAGGATAAGTTCATTAGAGTTACCATCCTCAGAAATTGCAGCCCAAATAAATGCTTCACAGAGTTCAAGTCACAGACACATCTCAACATTAACTGTTCAGAGGGGACTGTGTGAATTAGGCATTCAAGGTCGAATTTCTGCAAAGAAACCACTACTAAAGAACACCAATAAGAAGAAGAGACCTGCTTGTGCCAAGAAACACGAGCAATGGCCATTAGACCGGTGGAAATTTGTCCTTTGGCCTGGAGTCCAAATTTGAGATTTTTGGTTCCAACCGCCGTGTCTTTGTGAGACGCAGTGTGGGTGAACGGATGATCTCCGCATGTGTAGTTCCCACCGTAAAGCACGGAGGAGGTGGTGTTATGCTGTGGGGGTGCTTTTCTGGTGACACTCAGTGATTTATTTAGAATTCAAGGCACAATTAACCAGCATGGCTACCACAGCATTCTGCAGCGATAAGCCACCCCATCTGGTTTGGGCTTAGTGAGACAATCATTTGTTTTTCAACAGGACAATGACCCAACACACCTCCAGGCTGTGTAAGGGCTATTTGACCAATGAGAGTGATGGAGTGCTGCATCAGATGACCTGGCCTCCACAATCACCCAACCTCAACCTAATTGAGATGTTTTGGGATGAGTCGGACAGCAGAGTGAAGGAAAAGCAGCCAACAAGTGCTCAGCATATGTGGGAACTCCTTCAAGACTGTTGGAAAAGCATTCCAGGTGAAGCTGGTTGAGAGAATGCCAAGAGTGTGCAAAGCTGTCATCAAGGCAAAGGGTGGTTATTTGAAGAATCTCAAATATAAAATATATTTTGATTTGTTTAACACTTTTTTGGTTACTACATGATTCCATATGTGTTATTTCATAGTTGATGTCTTCACTATTATTCTACAATGTAGAAAATAGTAAAAATCAAGAAAAACCCTTGAATGAGTAGCTGTGTCCAAACTTTTGACTGGTACTGTATGTCTGCTGCAGAGGGATAAGAGAGCCATGAGAAAACGAGTTGAGCAGTCATGGAAATAAAAGTGCAGAAAACAAAACTGGCTCCCTATTAAAACAGATGGCGAACAAGCTATGAAGGGAAAATACTGGAGTTTTGGTGCAGGTACAGTCAACTAGAGCAAAAATAATAATGTGATAGTCAAAACAATACGATATATCGTTACAAACAATAGCCCGATATGCAATTATCGATCCCCCCCCATATCACTAATATAACAACCGAGCCCTACATTAGTTTGACAGTAGGCTACATTTTATTGATGAAGAGTTTCAACTGGAAGGTCCATGCTTGCAAACACCATAGGCTACTTCCCCAGAGATCACAAGCGAAAACATGGCTCTGGGGCTAAGAGAAGCTTTAGCCGCCTGGGCCCTGAACGAGGAGCATTAAGTGTGTATAACGATAACGGTGCAAACATGGTGAAGGCCATCGCGTTGAATGACTGGACCAGACTCCAATGTTTTGGACACAGGCTGCACTTTGCAAATTGGTAGGTTACATGTTTTTAAAGGAACTTTGACTTATAATTTCAATTATAATAATGATTCAGCCTACTTATACATAAGTACAATCATAAGCCTCCTATTCCATCTGCAGCCTATGGGCTGGCTGAATAAATAATGAACTTAACTTTAAATAATTAACTAAGAACTCAATGGTAAAACAGGAACTCATGTTATTAATTGATTAATGAATAACATGCTACGCTTTAGCACACTATATATTTCAAGGATCATCAACTAGATTCAGCCGTGGGATGATTCTTTCTTGAGTGGATGGTCAGGGGGCCAGAACATAAATTACAAATAATTTGTAGACTGCATATTGACCGCAAGAAGCTCAAAAAAGATAACAATTTCACTAAAACATAATAATTTCAAACATTGTTTACGATCACGTCTCTCTATTATACATGGGAATACTTGGGAAAAGATTTCCTAAATTAAAATCAATTGGAGCTGATTTCCTGGTGTTTTTACAGTCTTATGTCCAACAACACAAATGTACACTTTATTTTTGCTCAGAAAACTTGGGGGGCCAAATGAAACCACCTGCAAGCCAAATCTGGCCCGCCAGTTGGGGAACCCTGCTATATTTTGATGTTAAATTATGTTTGTTCATATGTAAGTGTAGTAATCCTATCTATTATCATATGTATAACAATGTTGGAAAATATTTGTTTAATTTGGTTTTGTATTCAGTTAGCACAGTATGTATTAACTAATGATCTCATTTTAGAAATGGTGTTCTCTACCCGGACACATGTTTTAAACAGGTCTGATGGAATTACCAAGTTTTCACCCATGTGTTGGAAAATCGCAACTGCAATATCTAGCCCAAAAATATTGAAATTAAATTATTTTTTCCTAATCGTGCAGCCCCACTACCTACTATCCTTCTACAATCTCTAGAGCCACCGCTAAAATTAGAACACTGCTGGAGTTCTCAGACAAGCCGCTGCATTCCACCATGCATTTCTAGGGAAACATAACACTGGGTACTGAAACAGACTTTACTTCTTAAATCTGGACAGGTGCTAAATAAAGGTCTAGGGAGGGGTGCAAAAAGGAGCAGCTTACATAACATGTTGCTAAAATGTTTAACTAAGGACTGCATGTAACTTTAGTGATCAAACAGCTGTGGAATGTTGGAGGGGGGAATGTTACTCAGAGTGCCAGTTAGGCGCAGACACTCAAATCCATCCCAGAGATGGCACCCTATTCACTATATAGTGTCCTACTTTTGACCAGGACTCATAGGGCTCTGGTCAAAAGTAGTGCACTACATAGGGAACAGAGTGCCATTTCAGAGACAGATAACGGAGAGACGGCTCACCTTGACAGCATTTCCTCTGATTAATTTCTTAATGGTGGACAGCAGGCCTCTCCCTCCACCTGTCGGGGTGCACTCCTCAACTTCTGAATGCCTCCGCTTGGTCCGGGATGGGCGGGGCGCATGGGCAGGGCTCGACTGCTGAGATGCCTTCCGCATTCTCAGCCTCATTGTTTTAAGAGTCACATGTAAGACTGGAGGACAGACAGAGCAAAGCGGGTTGATGGCAAAAGCGGACAAATGGGGGAGATTGGGTGGGAAGAGTGAGGGAAAGGAGAAAAAAAAACAGTGTTAGTGAAAGACCTGATTTTCCCCTCTTCATACATTCACATAATATACAGCCTAACAGCTAAAAGGTGTGGATAAGCTGGTGATTTGAAAACCTGCAGTGAACAAAAAACACCATCAGAAAAAGTGCTGCTGCTAACATCTGGTTGCATTCAAGACACCATTTCCTTTGCATCACAGTACATCATTGCTGCCTCAAGTGAGCCAAAGACCCATCAAACGAGTACTCAAGACTACTTACTTCAGTGAATGTGTTTATCTAACAACTGACCAACTGATGGGACAAATTGATCACCAAAAGTATCTGAGGACATTAGGGATTATGAATACAATTACATTTTCTTGATGAGAGTTGATCAATGTTCTCCTGATGGGATGAGATGGACCTATTGTTTTCATTAACATTTACCTGACATGCATATGGTATTTTTTTGCTGGATCTTTGTAGAATTCTGACCCATTTTGAGTCACACACAATCGTGTGTTCTCTTCTCCGACTATTAATCCACAGATAAAAAGGGGAAACCTAATTAGTTCGTTTTCTTTGATTCATTTTTCTTCTGTTTTTTTTATATGGCAGTAGGCAACCAACTTTAAGGTGCATTACTGCAACCGACTGGACTGGAGAGTGGACCTCGTTCATCTTTCAAATCATCCACGTGGGTTAGTATGCTCCTAATAACCAATGAGTAGATGGGAGAGGCGGTACTTGCAGCGCTTCACGCGTCTAAAATAGAACCAAGTTTTATTTCGCGCCTGGCTACGCAGACACTCGTTGACGCGCGCAAGCAGTTTGGATGAAATTATTAAATAACATGTACATTTATTTTGAGACACAAGTTTGGTCAGCATGTTACATTACATAACCATTGGATGGAAATTTGTTCAGACATGTCCAGGACCTATCAGGCACCCTGCCAGACAGTGCAGACACACACAGCCCTCTCTATCCACCACTCCCATTGCACTGCAGAGAAACCCACTGAATCTGCATTACATTACCATGGGGCCTGGCCTAAACAGTGATCACACTTTCTCAACAGATCCTAATATAACAAAGTCCATTTACTTCAGATAAACATTGAGGAATGTGAACACACCATCCCTTTTTTCAGTCACTACTGTAAAGTTTCCATCCCTTGTCAAAACGTGTGGTGGACAAAAATAAATGTATTACCCAAATGAAATTAGCAGTTGATTACAGGGCAGGGATTCAGGGAGCGTATGTGCCTTGTACAATATTTCCATAGATACAAGACAAGTAGTCAGACTTATTCAATACATGCCAGAGGGAGGATTATTTACAAATGAACACTAGTCTTCACCGTGATGAAGCAATAGCTGTGATGTTGAACTAGCATAACTGGGATGTTACGTGCTACTATTGATGTAATATGACAGCATTAGTGTAATTGTAATGCCTGCAAGCCCCATGGGCACAGGGGTGTCAGTCAGTGTGAGCAATCCAATGCCGCAATGGAGAGGGGAGCATGAAGGTTTGCAACAAGTCATGGATTAAAAATAGCTTCAAATCCAGAGACACAAAAAAAATGGTATTCCCAAACAATATAGCCAGTAAATAACATTTATGAATGAAGGAACAACCTAGCTCTCTGTTAGGCTAAGCCACGCATCAAACAAGGCCCGCAGAACGAATCCGGCCCATGACACATGTCTATCTGAAAGGCACAATGATTTGGGGTATCAATTCATTTTGGCCCGCTTCCATGCCGCCCATGATGCGCTGCACTACAAGTCACAGCAAGCACTGCCAACGTGCTGCACGGCAAACAGCAGTGCATTGCCACACACACCAGCGTGCTGTATCATATCACTAATGGCACTGACTGAATCTTCTCCCAAACCAAAAGTTTAAGGTGTTGTAGTCTAAATGTCCAAGCCAAGTTTCAGTTCCAACTGGTCATTGCTGTAGCCTACAGAAAATGTCATCTTTGTTGTCAAAAAGTTAAGATAAAGGATTCACACACGGGTATAAATGACTACTAAAGGACAATAGGACACACAAGCGAGTATAAATGAGTCAACAGTTGAGTCCTCTGCTTTATGAAATTACAGCGCTTGCATCTGTGAATTCAATGTCAATTGCTCTGCTTTCGTGTGTCCCTTACAGCACGCAGCAAAGGGAAAGTGTACCGTACAGTCCTCCTAGGCTACAAAAAATGTTGAAGTCTGGGTTTGATTTAAAGCTGAACAATGAATAACCGAAAAACAAAACCTTACAATAAAACACCATGCAAAGGAGAAATGTAGGCCTATGACAACATGAGCAGTAACCTAGGCTTGCTACTCAACTACAATACATTTTGAGTGCACCATACAGAAATACTGCATTCAACTGCACTAGTGATCCATGCAGTGCAAAAAAATGAAAAACATGTTTAAATGTTACAACTACCTAGTTATGTTTTTGTTATTTGGGAGTTATGAAATACTTTTTGATTAGGGTCGCAGCATATTATGCACATCTGCAAGCATAGCAGCAAAGGCTGGACAAACATGACTTAATCTCTTTTGTTTTAATATGTTAAAATGCTATATACAGCTTTATGTACATAAGTGGATATTATAAAGGGCCATTTTCTTGGCAATAAAAAAATTGCCCGTTTGGGTTGCGGTTGTATGCACATTTTTTTTTGTAAAAACAAACAATAGGCTATGTCTGGGCCGCAAATTTGTTGTGTTTTTTTCCCAATATGGCCTGTGTGCTGATTGAGTTTAACACCCCTGGGCTAAACCATCCAAGGAGCCAGCAGAACTTCCAATGCAGCAGAAACGGCATGCCTCAATTTTGCCTGCAGAACTCAGCATGGATGCAAGAGCCAATGAACATGAATCACACACACAGTTCCTCTAGTCACAGCATGCCTATTTTTTACCATCTCAAAGCATGACTCATTCACAGTTTCCAACAAACCAAGGCTGCTGCCAGCAGCACCAGAAACACTATACTGGGGAAGAGGATTTCCTTTTTTCTTTCTAAGAACAAAGGAAATCTATGGATATATAATACACAAATCAAGTAAGGTTGTGGATAAAGCTATATTTCTAAAAACTACAGTACAGACTATCCATTTTCACTGCCCCCAGACTTGTTTTTCTGAAATTACAACCAGCTGTTACACATGCGACAAAGAAAATGACATCTATAGTAGCTAGATGCTAGCTACTCCCGCATACACACGACTTGCACACCATTATACCAGAGCACTTTTAAAAAAAAAGCTAAAAAAAAAAATGTTTGAAGCAGTGTGACACAGTGATTTAAAGTTGTTAAAAATGTAAACAGGGTATTACCTCATTTTATCGTGGCTCAGTTTACCCTACAGCAGGGTTATTCAACTAAATTCTTACGGGGGACAGATTTGAAAAAGGTTACAGTGGAGGAAAAAAGTATTTAGTCAGCCACCAATTGTGCAAGTTCTCCCACTTAAAAAGATGAGAGGCCTGTAATTTTCATCATAGGTACACATCAACTATGACAGACAAAATGAGATTTTTTTCTTCCAGAAAATTCAATTTGTAGTTTTTTTAATGAATTTATTAGCAAATTATGGTGGAAAATAAGTATTTAGTCAATAACAAAAGTTTCTCAATACTTTGTTATGTACCCTTTGTTGGCAATGACACAGGTCAAACGTTTTCTGTAAGTCTTCACAAGGTTTTCACACACTGTTGCTGGTATTTTGGCCCATTCCTCCATGCAGATCTCCTCTAGAGCAGTGATGTTTTGGGGATGTCGCTGGGCAACACGGACTTTCAACTCCCTCCAAAGATTTTCTATGGGCTTGAGATCTGGAGACTGGCTAGGCCACTCCAGGACCTTGAAATGCTTCTTACGAAGCCACTCCTTCGTTGCCGGGCGGTGTGTTTGGGATCATTGTTATGCTGAAAGACCCAGCCACGTTTCATCTTCAATGCCCTTGCTGATGGAAGGAGGTTTTCACTCAAAATCTCACGATACATGGCCCCATTCATTCTTTCCTTTACACGGATCAGTCGTCCTGGTCCCTTTGCAGAAAAACAGCCCCAAAGCATGATGTTTCCACCCCCATGCTTCACAGTAGGTATGGTGTTCTTTGGATGCAACTCAGCATTCTTTGTCCTCCAAACACGACGAGTTGAGTTTTTACCAAAAAGTTCTATTTTGGTTTCATCTGACCATATGACATTCTCCCAATCCTCTTCTGGATCATCCAAATGCACTCTAGCAAACTTCAGACGGGCCTGGACATGTACTGGCTTAAGCAGGGGGACACGTCTGGCACTGCAGGATTTGAGTCCCTGGCGGCGTAGTGCGTTACTGATGGTAGGCTTTGTTACTTTGGTCCCAGCTCTCTGAAGGTCATTCACTAGGTCCCCCCGTGTGGTTCTGGGATTTTTGCTCACCGTTCTTGTGATCATTTTGACCTCATGGGGTGAGATCTTGCGTGGAGCCCCAGATCGAGGGAGATTATCAGTGGTCTTGTATGTCTTCCATTTCCTAATAATTGCTCCCACAGTTGATTTCTTCAAACCAAGCTGCTTACCTATTGCAGATTCAGTCTTCCCAGCCTGGTGCAGGTCTACAATTTTGTTTCTGGTGTCCTTTGACAGCTCTTTGGTCTTGGCCATAGTGGAGTTTGGAGTGTGACTGTTTGAGGTTGTGGACAGTTGTCTTTTATACTGATAACAAGTTCAAACAGGTGCCATTAATACAGGTAACGAGTGGAGAACAGAGGAGCCTCTTAAAGAAGAAGTTACAGGTCTGTGAGAGCCAGAAATCTTGCTTGTTTGTAGGTGACCAAATAATTATTTTCCGCCATAATTTGCAAATAAATTCTACAATGTGATTTTCTGGATTTTTCCCCCTCAATTTGTCTGTC